TTGCTAAGAGAAGCCAAGGAACAAGGTTTGGGCCCACATTGAGCTTGAGTATTTAAGGAATATGCTTGGGGAAGGTTATTTGGGCTAAAATCAGAGCAACACCTCCAGTGAGGACAGTTCAGGGGACAGAGTCCCGTGCTTCCCCAGGGTCCCTCACATGGGGTAACGAACAGTAAGGACGGCCGAGCCTTGGCACGCATGGGGTCCGGACCTCCAGCCCACCTGAGGTTTCTGCTCTCATGCTTGTTAAACTGTAGCTGTCCCTACACAGGCTGAACTGCGGTCCTGTCCCTGACAGTGAACTTCTGGGTTGGAGCCCTCAACATGTCTACCAGGCCAAGGCCACACAGCTGGGAAGTGTGCAAGATGGTCAGGGCCTCTCTGCCTGCTATTCTCACCAGAGCACAGCAGAGACCCTCTGGGTCCTTCACTGAGTGAGGTTTGGTTCCCTAGAATTTGTCCTTGCCCTTCAGCAGGTGGGTACCCAGTCACCTAGAAGAAAGTTCCTGTTTATGCACTCAGCAAACACATGAGCAAAATTAGCTTCCTCTGGACCATCTTGCAGATTCCAAGTGCCTTGAAAGAAAAGTACTGGATCTTGCTGCTCCTTGCCTCTTCCCCTAGTCTCTTTACTTAGTGGATTTTTATTTAGATGTTTTAAATTAAATTTCGTGATACCTTTAGTTGAATTTGGTGGCTGAACCTAAGTCTTAGAGGCTTCATGGACAGAGATGAAGTGCTGGGGTGGGGGTGGGGGGATGGTCCTGCTGAGCTCTGTCCAGCAGACAGTGTAAGGATTCTGAGCCTCACTGAGTGGCACTTTTCCTACCCTGATGGGTGTCTTGGTCCGCTCAGGCTGCTCTAACAAAATACTACCACCGAGGTAGTTCACAAATAACACAGGAGAGCTGGTCCCCTGGGCGATCCGACTGCTTTCTGGGCAGGGACATTTCTTTGCATCCCCAGTCCTGGTATCCAGATGAGGCTCCTTTTGTTGCGTGGACTGTTGTAAGGGCTGGAAACCATGCGTGGAAGGAAGAGAAGCATAGCTCTGAGCCTGAGACAGAAGCCCAGCTTCGGAAGGTCTGGCCAAGTGGCATCAATATCACATTGTTTTAGGACTGGGGTTCAAATCTGGGCTTAAGCACCTAACAGCTGTGATCTAGGCACATTCTCGAGGCCTAAGGAAACAGGTCCCCCAGCAGCTCAGCCTGTCGTCTTCCTGTGGTCGGGGCAAGAGTCCCAGGACTTTACTTAAACAAAAGGGGTGAAATGAGTTTCTGCTCTCACCTGAAATCCCACTCAAAAGACAGTAATTTTTAAAACAGCATCAAATGACAAGGATAAAATGGCCAAGAAAAGAGACCATCACAGGCCAGAGAGATCAGTAGAGTTCTGGAAGTGGGAAAGCTGACAGAGAAGTGGTCTCTGACGTCACAGGAAGCTGACCCCAAAGTCACAAGAAGGGAAGGGGCACCTGGATGGCTCAGTCAGTTAAGCGTCTGACTCTTGGTTTCAGCTTGGGTCATGGTCTTGCAGTTTCGCAGGTTTGAGCCCCACATTGGGCATCAGACTCTGCGCTGACGTTGCAGGGCCTGGTTGGGATTCTGTCTCCCTCTCTCTCTGTCCTGCCCCTACGTGTGCTGTCTCCGCCTCTGTCAAAATAAGTAAATTTGGGAGAAAAAAACCAAAGTCAGAAGAAGGGAAAGTCGGTTAGAAGAAAGTCTGTTCCCACTCCAGGACCCCAGTAAAGGCAGGAATTGGGGGTCCCAGGACCCACTCTGGAAAACAGGACTTAAGGGTGAGGTTGAGGACAGAAAGCCTGATTGAGCAGCTGGATACCAAGACACCCCCAATTCAGTAGTTTTACTCTCTGAACGGCCATCCTGGACTCCTTTCTCTCAAGCTCCATCATTAAATCTGATTGGCTCTACCTTCAAATACATCCAGAAAGATCTGCAATCCGTCACCGCCAAGACCCCATCTCCCACCACTGGCTCCCTCCACTACCGTACCTCCTTGCCTTTACTGGACGTGCTGGGTGCACACCTACCTCTGGCCTGTGCATAGGCTGCTCTCACCTCTGGGAGCACTTTCCAGATACCCTTATAGCCACCTCTCCCTGCCTTTACACCTCCTCCTTCTGCTCAGAGGCTGCCTTCCCTGACCACCTCCCCCCACCCCCCAGCCTGCCTTCTTTTTCTCCAAAGTGCTTTTCCTCACCGACCATAACACCTGTCTCCCCTGCTGAAATATCAGCTCTTCTGGAGCAGGGATTTGGGTATCCCATCCACTGCAGTATTCCCAGAGCCTAGAACGGTATCCAGAATGTGGCGGGTAATCAGTACTTGTTGAGCACGACATGAGTGGAGAAACCAGACACTGAAGACCCCAGCCTCACCACAGGGCACGAAGACAGAATGGTTGTCACCATTAACCATTACAATTAACCAGATTACAAAACCAAAACCCCAGGATGGGCGGTCTCATTCCCCCCAGAACGGGCACACACAAACACAGGACCCTTACACATCAGAATCTCAACCCAGAAGGAGCGCCCACCTCTTCTGGCACACCACAAATCAGACTGTCACCTGTGATCACCACCACGTGCTCGGAGCCTGGTACACCATAGGTGCCCGATAAACGTTTGTTGAGGAATAGGAGAGGGCAGGCGGCATTTGAAAAGGAGGGAACTAAAGAAAGGAACCTCATGGCACTGGTGCAGAAAAGTGTGGGTGGTCTGAGGCCTGGGAGCAGGGCTGAGTCCAGGCTGTGGAATACCTCGAATGTGAGTGGTAGGTGGACCCCTGAGTAAATTCGCATCAGCACGTGACTCACTCAGAGCACAGAACGGGGAGCCAGCCCAGCCTGGGAAGAGCTGGAGAAGAGATGTACCCGACAAAGGAACCACCAAAAGGCCAGTTTGGCTCAGCAGTGACGGGGTAGATAGAAATCAGTCTGGAACCAGAGGGGGCCAGGGCTTTCAACTCTCGTCCCCAAACTAAGAGAGAGAGATCTTCGACCCAAGAAAAGATGTGGACCCATGCTTTGGTGGGGGATGGAAACCTCCTTTCCTTCCCAGACAACCTGCAACTCTTTATCTCCTCACAGGCAAGGATCTTCTTCATCTGCATGGCCTCATTCTACCTAAAAAACTCAAAGTTATTTGCTAAATGAAGTACATTAGAGACTCAGAGAAAGAAAATTAAAAACAAGGGACCTACTGTCAAACAAAGTGGTGAGGGCTGAGGACTTTTGTTCATGGCGCAGTTATTAATCAATAAAAGTAGCACACTCAGTAGAGATATCAGTGAGGATTATGGCTTTATGACCCAGGAAAGGGGTAGGTCTAGAAGCAGAATGAGGTGCTGGGAAGAAGGCTTGACATTTTAGACTGAACTGCTCTCCTAACTGGATGTGTGACCTGGGGTAGGACATCTCCTTCTCTGGTCTTCAGTTCCCTGAGTTAAACTGAGGGAATCAGACTGACTGTTCACCAAAGGATTTCTGGGTGAGTGCCAACTCTCTCCGTAGCTTTGCGTCCTTGTGTGTCCACCATACCTATCTCCAGGCACAGAGAAGATGCCCAGGAGTATCTGCTGAATGAATGAATGAATGAATGAATGAAGACCAAGGTCTCATTTTAGAAGACTGGAAGCTGGGGCCTGCAGAGGTCAGGTGACAGCTCAGGGAGGAACAGCCAGTTAGGGGCAGTGTGTGAGGAGGCCCTGGGACTCCAGCCAGAGACTCCTGGGCTCTTCAGTAGAGATAAGAACAGAGAAGCAGAGAGGAGACAGGTGGAGGAGATGGGCACTTTATTGGAGAGGAGAGGGGAGGGGAGGGGAGGGGAGGGGAGGAGGGTCCCAGCAGACAGCCCCCTAGAATCCAGTGGGCAACAAACTGGGGAAGTGCAGCTGTGTGATCAGACGCTCGAACCCCAGCTTCCAGGACTTAATGTCACCTCTCTAAATTAAGGTCTACTCTTGGGTAAAATAAGAATAATACAGCCTCACTTACAATGATAAAAATCGCTGCGAGATCCATGAGAAAAGCCATATAAAGGCTCTTGAACAGTGCCTGGTACATAATAGGGGCTCAATAAACGTCCCCGCCGGTGGCACTTCTACCACTCCAGCACAGCCCCTAACCCGAGTGGCAACTTTTCTTTCGGGACAGTTAGAAAGCGGGTACAAATGGAAACGCGTGGTGTGCAGATAAGAGCGACGGTAACAATAAATTCCCGACCGCGAGGCAGGGGAAGCATGCTCCGCACTTCCTTCGCCCCCTCAGCCTAGTGTATGAAATCTCCCACGTGCTGGTCCTTTTGAGGTCAGGGTTCGAGTCTCACCGTGACCTTGGACCAGCCTCGTTTCTCTCGGTCTCGGTTTTCTCATCTGCAAAACGGAGGTGGCGACCCCACCGCCCGGCCCTCCCAAGGGTCCCGAAGAGGGTACCCCGGGCCGCGCCTCGCGTCGCCCGCGCCTGCAGTGGGGTCGTGGGGCGCTGGGGCCTGTGGGGCTACGCGGGTGGCAAAACCGCGTGTCCCCTGCAGGCCCTCGTAGGCCGGTCTCCATGGCAGCCCGCTCTCCCTACCTTCCTGCCGGCAGTAGGCCATGGCTCAGCCCCTGCACTCAGACCTCGCGGCGATAGCGGTGGCGTCGGCAAGGCGGCAGCAGGCTCCCGCTGGGACCTCTCCTCCGGCTGGGCGGGAGCCTCCGAGGCCCACGCGGAGCCGCCCCCTCCAGGCCTGCCCGCCGCGCGCCTGCCTCCGCACCCTCCCAGCCCTAAACTCTGTTCCCCCTCAGCCGGGAACTACATTTCCCAGAAAGCCGCGCGCGGCCCGCCCTCAGGCAGTAGGAACTACACATCCCAGAATGGCTTGCAGTGCGCAGGCGCATCAATGAGGTACGGGGCGTGTTGCAATTTAGTGGCTAAAGCACCTAATCCCAGACTACATTTACCAGGAAGGCTTGCGGCGCGCATGAGCAGAAAAGCTGTGGCTCAGGGGGCGGTAACTGCGCTTCCAGATTTCTGGCGTCCACGCGGATTTTCGCAGCTGTGGGGTAAGGCTGTAGGCCGCTGCGTCCTGCACTCGGGCCGTCAGCCCCGTCCGCAGCTGAGCAGAGCGAGGGTGAGCGGCGAGGCGGGTCTCACCATGGCCGCGAACGTGAGTGTCTCGGGTTTACCAGACCCCACCCAGACTATCCCATCTCCCCGGGCGTCCTCCGCGAAGGGGCCGCCCAGGTCCATCTTGCCTGCCTGACCCTCGGCCGTGCGGCCCGTCCGTCTCTTGCCCCGGCCTCCGCATGCCCTTGCCCCGGCCTCCGCATGCTCTTGCCCCGGCCTCCGCATGCTCTTGCCCCCGCCGTCGGGCAGCTAACCCGGTCTGCTCATCTCTGTCTGTCCGGACCTCGACGTCGGGCTGTGCGTGTGCGGGGAGAGAGACTCGGGAGCCGTTGCTCCCGGCTTTGGGTCTCCTGGTGCGCGGCGCCTTCCCTCAGCCCCTCCTTCCATTCCCGGCGCCCACCTGGGCCCTCGGGCTTGTCTTTCCCTACGGGTTTTGAGAGCTGGACGGGACGCCCGAGGGAGCCGGTCCGCGGGAAGGGTGGGGAAGACGATACGGCTCAGGTGAAGCTGCCCATCAACGGAGGGACTGGGCTGCGCGGGCGGGCAGTGAGCTCCGCGCTCTAGGGGAAGTGCGTAAACCGAGGCTGCGAAGGGGTGCGGGCGAGACTGAGAGCAGAGGAGGTAAGATGGCTGTTGGGAGGGAGCACTTCCCCTCTGCCGGGCCCCTTGTCCTTCTAGGGTGTGTTTGGTCAGAAAGGTCCTGGCTGAAGGTGGTTCCTTGCAAAAAGGCTGCTGGCCCTTTCTGCCTGCAGCCAGCCTGTCTCGGGAACCTTTCGATTGAAGCTCAACATTGATTCAACAAACCGACCATCGCCTCCAACCGGAGTGCTGGGTGTGGGAGAAGCCCGGTGACTCACCAGTCCCCTCCTCTGTGAAAGTGATTCTGGAGCCAGCCCTGGTTCCCCGCCAGCCCAGGCACTCCCTCCCTCCTGCTCTGCTGGAATGTCCTCGCCACTCCCCCCTGGCCTGTTACACCCTCTTCCCAGGCCCCTGGGGCCTCTCTGCGCCCCACGTCCCTGAAGACGCAGGGTTAGGGTTGTATCACCCACAGAGCTTGTGCCCTCTGCCTCAGCCGGAGTTGTCGGGAGGTGTAGAAACCATGAATGCTGCACGTAGAGACGCCTCAGGGCTAGTCTGAGGCCCAGGGTCTGCCAGGGAGATGGCAGTCAGGAGACCAGAGGTAGATTTCTCTCCACCCCCATACCAGCAGCAGCAGCAGCACCATGTTTACAGATGGAGCTTTTCCCCAGCAGGGGAAGGCACTTGCTCAGGGTCTGACAGCCAGCTTGGCCAGCCAGACACTTCAGGAGAAAACGCGGTCCACAGACCGCAGGCTTTGGAGTCCAGCAGACCTGGGAGCACAGATCCACTTTCTTCCAAACAGAAGCGGTGTGGCCTTCACCGCTCTGGGTCTGTGTGTCTTCATGGGATCTGTTACTGTGACATTCAGGGGAGTCAGTCTGTGGTTAGCACAGCACCTGGTACCTACAGGGTGCCTAATACATGAGAAAAATCCGTCTTCACAATCTGGCACGCGTGGCCCTGGTGGGCAGAGCCTATCTTGGGTATACTGGCACCTGACCTTGTCCAAGGAATGTGGCTGAGTTTGGGTATGATCTGCTGCCAAACCTTTGTTGAGTCATCCAGTAGCTGGGTGCACATTTAGGAGCCACCAGGCCCACTGCGGAGAAAGATCTGAAGATGGTGGGGTGGAGCAGGGAGGTGACACAATTTCTTCATCAACAAAACTGCCCTGTGACAGAGGTACTGTTAACTATCTCCTTTTATAAGTGAGTAAACAGGATCAGAGAGGTAGAGTGACTAAGGCAACAGGTAATTCTCAGGGCCTGTGTGTCAACCACTGTTCCATCTCTTTGCTTCTGAGCCTTGAGTGCTCACTGAGGATACACGTATGTATTCAACACATATCAAGGAGCCAGCATCAACATAAGGGGCTCAAAGGTGGCCTTGAAGGGGAGGAAGAGGCACCAGAGGGTGCCCCGCGGCTAGGGAAAGGACCAAGTGGGTAGCGAGGTGTGGCTGGAGGAAGTCACCATCGTCCTCTACTACAGGCCCTCCGTGTTTACTGGCATTTTGGTTTGGAATATGGGCTGAGTGTGTCATGTCACTACCCAACCTACGCCTCCTGTGGGTTGAGATGTGCCCTCCTGTGCCTTTGTTTCTTCCCTTCAAGGCCTTCTACGAGCTCCTCTCCTTGATGCTGGCTCCTAGATGTATGCTGAGGAGAGGCCCAGGAGGAAGTCATGCCTTCTGGCTTCCAGGTTTGGGGCCATGCTGCTAATAGTGGGATTGCCTCCCTTCCCTGATCTTCTCCACAGTGGTCCCCCAGTGTTCAACTCTTCTTACAGCCCAAGAAGCCAGAATGCAGCGAGGAACAAAGTGGTAGGATAGTGGCCTCTGGCCTGTCCAGATATGAAACCAAATTCTCCCTCATTAGAAGCTGAGTAATCTGGGCTGATGACCTAACTGCTGAGCCTTGATTTTCTCATCTGTGAAATGGGATAGCAATAGCTTGCCGGTGCCTGGCCTGTAATAGACTGGCATGCTGGCTGTTGTCATCATTATGACGGACGATGGCCACCGCCTGCCTGCATTGAACCGCTCCACTGATGTTTCCCAGTGCTGGGGAAAGTTAAGACCATCTCTGGATGTAATGGACATCTGGTGTCTGGCAGGCAGGGGCTGGGGGCATTTGGGGACAATCAAAGAATGTAGCATCAGCCTTGTTCCAGCAAAAACTGACCCGAGTCTCTCTTCTGGCCCCCTGTGCCAGGGGCCTGGCTCACTCTGATCACTCACCTCAGAACCACTTTACATCTTTGTGACTTTGGTCAGCTGACCCCAGCTGTGGCACCCATCCTTGGTGTCAGTTACGGAGAAAGCTGGCACCTGTACGTTCCTTCCTGTGCCCTAGTCATTGAGCTGCCTGATAATGTAGTCCTTTGGTCTCGGCAGCCCTATGGATTGGATTATTATCCCCATTTTACATATGAGGGAATGGAGAGCAAGGGGTTAATTGCTCACACAAGGTTCCATCACTGGTACAAGGCAGGGCCCAGATTCAAACCCAGTTCTTCTGGTTCCGGTGTTCTGCCCTTGACGATGGCAGTCGGCAGTGGACACTTCAAACCCTGCTGCTCTTCTTGGCTGCACAAAACCGGACACACTGACTCTGGAGTTTGAAGCCTATCATGAAGCCTCCTGGATGTGTCCGGCTGCCCTCATCTCCCCCCCAGCCCATGCCTCCCCAGACCCAGCCAGAGCAGATAGGCAGCTGTGCACCCAGGACTGCTTCCTGCTTCCCCACCATCACTCACATGGTTCCCCCTGCTGGGGATGCCCTTTCCCCAGGGTCCACCTCTCTGATCCCAATCAAATGCCCCTCTTCTGGGGAGCCTGCCATGATCCCCCAGCTGGAAGGGGTCACTCCTTTTGTACCTGATCTGCTCCTCACCAGACACTCAGCATGGCCTAGTACTGTTTGTGCCCGCAACTCGACCACCCTGCAGCATGTCTTCCCCTTCCCTCGCCGCTACAAGGCCCAGTGTGGCCCTTGGGAAGCTGAGCCACCGTTTCTTGAATTGAATTAATAATATATCTCTGATAACCTCTTTGTAAAAACAGTCTGGCAGTTTCTTAAAAGCATATATACCTTCTCTGTGATCAGCAATTTCACCCCTGTGTGGGGATTCGTTACCCACTCCCCAAGGATGAGGAAAGCACCGTATCTGCATAAAGACTTCTCTGTGCATATCCACAGAGGTGTTGTTCATAACAGCTGGAAACTGGAAGCAACCACCATATCCATCCACGGGTAACTGAGTTGACAAACGTGGTGTACTTGGGAATTTAATACTGGATAAATTCCATATTAAAAGAATGAGGTGCTGTTACATACCACAGTGCTGCTGAACCTCAAAAGCATTATGTTGAGTCAGTATACTGACAGATAAGCAATTTGTGCTGTAGGATGGTCCCCTTTCTATCAGGCTCTCTAAGAGGCAAGACTAATCTGTGATGATACAAATTCAAATACTTGTTACCACTAGGGACTTGGGGGAGGGAGGAGTATTGGCAGGAAAGAGGCACAAAGTAACTCTCTGAGATGATGGAAACATTCTTACCTTGATCTGGGTGTTGGTCAAATGGGATGTGCCCATCAAACTATACATTTCATACCCTGTACATTTTTACTGTATATCATTTCAGTGAAAACTGAACAAATAGCAAAATTCAACTTGTTTTTTAAAAAACTAATCTTCATTTTGACTTTTAAAAATATTTTCCCCCTCAGTATTCCAGTACGAGCAACAGGAGAGAACATGTCAAAACTACGACCAGCCCCCAGCCAGGCTTCTTGGAGCGGCTCAGCGAGACCTCTGGTGGGATGTTTGTGGGGCTTATGACCTTCCTGCTCTCCTTCTACTTAATTTTTGTCAATGAGGTAAAATGTTTGGGGTCCCCCTGTGCAGTATTGGAGAGCAAAGTCCAGAGGCTGGGTGTGGTAACAAGGGCCTAGATTTTACCACAGGTGGGGTTGGCGGAAGAGGTTGGGGGAGGTAGTGCTAAATTAGTCAGAATGCTCTCTCTTGTGACCCATCTGTCATATGGAGGAAGACAAACGAAGACACTTATGACCTACTGTCATAAGTAGGAAGACAAATGAAGGTCCAGAGGTTCACAGGCCTGAAATCCTGGGGTAGCATCAGCTTCAGGCATGGTTGGATCCAAGTGTTCATGTTGGCTCACTAGGAATCTCCATTTTTCCATGCTTGCCTGTTTTTCTCTTTATGGAATTTTCTTTGGCAGGCTTTTCCTTTGTGGTGGTGAAGGTGGCCAGCAACTCCAGGGTAACATCCAACCAGCTTAGCAGCCCCATCCCTTCCAAAACCAACTTAGCAAACATTGCAGGGAGAGGGCTCAGGGTCCTGGCTCATCTCAGTCCTCTCTCTGAACAAATCCCCATGGACAATGAACCCATGTTCCGATTGGCTAGGCATGGTCACGTGACTCAGACAGCACTACAGACAGGCCATCTAAACCACGCGGACTGGGAGGTGACAGCGAGGGAGAAGGCAGAGAAAGATGGGGAAAAGGGCACATAGCAGACAGAAGCACAGGGCAGTGAGGAGACTGGGCCGGGGGACAGGGGAGAGGGGACAGGAAGAGGACTTCTGGGAAGTCTGGGAAAACAGGAGTCTGGGCTTCTGGTTCCAACTGTGCCCCTTGCTAGGCCTCGGTTTTCTGGCTGTAACATGGGGAGATAAGCTCATTGCTTCCCACGGCCCCTTCCTGACATGATATACTGTGGTAGGCACGTGTTGAACCACGCCTGAGGTGAGATCCCCACTCACTTTTGTTCCCAGGGCCGTGCGCTGAAGACGGCCACATCCCTGGCCGAGGGGCTCTCGCTCGTGGTGTCCCCTGACAGCATCCACAGTGTGGCTCCCGAGAACGAGGGAAGGCTGGTGCACATCGTTGGGGCCCTGCGCACATCCAAGGTAGGTCAGGCGAGGCTTTCTGACCCTCTGGGGGCCGGGGCACGTCGCTGGTCATTGTCTGGCTGTGGACTTTCAGCACTGGCGCTTTGCAGGGGGACACCCGGGCATGGTTCCCGGCTGCCCCCTCCGCAGCTGCGCGGGCCTGCCAGTCCCGGGTCTCGGCATCTTCATCTGCAGAGGATAACTGTAACACACTGGGGGGCCAGCTTGGAAGAGGTGGTGGGATTAGACACCCCTTGGCACAGTGAAGCACGCGGCAGGCGCTTTAGTGACTGTGAGCAGCTCATGCGTCTAGTGCCGGGCTGAGAGGTGCTCTGGTTATTGGACCTGCCTCTCTCATTCGAGCCCTAAACAGGAGGTTGTTGGCGCCGTGGCACTGGGTCGTGCAGAGCTGCGAGGCTCCAGCCCCCGACGTTGGGTGTCCGAGCAGCTTCACCCCGTTCCCCACCTGGAGCGGCTGTGGCACCACCGTCCTGGCCCTGTCCCCTCTACCTGGCTTTCATCCAGTCCAGCTTCCTCTGGCATCCTGGGCGGATGGGAGTCTTGTCCTGTATTTTATTGGTGTGTGTGTGTATTTGATCTGTTTGATTCTTTTTGAAGCTCTTGTCAGATCCAAACTACGGGGTCCACCTTCCGGCTGTGAAGCTGCGGCGGCAGGTGGAGATGTACCAGTGGGTGGAAACGGAAGAGTCCAGGTGAGCTGGCAGCAAGGAGAACCTCGGAGGAGGGCGGGACAGATGTCAGGACCAGGCACAGGTGGCTTTTTATTTTGACACTTCTGAAGTCTAAAGTATTGTACCTTCCTATCAGAGGGGCGCCTGGGTGGCTCAGTCTGTTAAACGTCCAACTTGGGCTCAGGTCATGACCTCACAGTTTGTGGGTTTGAGCCCTGCAGCGGGCTCTGTGCCGGCAGCTCAGAGCCTGGAGCCTGCTTCAGATTCTGTCTCCCTCTCTCTTTGCCCCTCCCCTGCTCACGCTATGTCTCTCTTGCTCTCAAAAATAAACAAACATTAAAAAAAACTTTTTTTAAATCTTCCTATCAGAAATGTTGAATTACACCCACGTTATTAGCCAGTACTCTTTTGTTTGGAGGTGGCAGAAATCTAATGCAAGTGGAAGGGTGGTCAGCTCTGTCTCGTCTAGGATGTTATACGGGGTGCCTGGGCCTGAGGCACAACGGGACCCGGGCGGCAAACAGTGCTTTCCCACGCGTGGGCTCCATGCCCTCTCCCGTGACGGGGCAGAGGTGGCCCCCAGTTCTGTCCTCTCCTTTCTAACTGAAGTCTGAGGGCAGCTGTCATTAGGCAGACTTCAGTCACTTGGAGCCGAGCGGCATGGACTGTGAGGGTGAGAGGAGGCTGGGGGGCCGGGGCAGCTGCGAGGGGGCCTCTGTGGGACTGGCCTGGAGCAGAGGCTGCAGCCAGGTTCTGAGTTCAGACAGCAGGCCTCCAGCCCTTGGTGTGAGCCAAGTGGGGGCACGTTTCAGCCCAGGATGAGAAAGCTCTCTTCTCCAGGGTGGGCCTTTGAGGGCCGGAGCCGGCTGTCAGGCAGGGAGCAAGCCCTGTCTGTTGGCCGGTGTGGACAAGGGCGGCTGCATTGGGAGATTCTGACCTCATGGCCCCAAGTTGCATCCAGTTGGAGATATGTAGAGATGGGACTGCTCAGGGGAGACAGGCTAACTCCGGGGTGCCTCTGCTTTCCCCACAGGGAGTACACCGAGGATGGGCAGGTGAAGACAGAGACAAGGTACTCCTACAGTGAGTACTGGGCCCCCACCATCCTGCACACATGTGGTCTCTGCCCTTAGCAGAGGCTGATGGCAGTGGGGAAGGCATGGGGCCAGGTGTCGGTATCCCTTGGCATCAGCCCTCAGAGTCCAGCTCTGTCATGTGTCCACTGAGGCTCCAGGAGCTGTCCCTCGGCCCTGGAGTGGCCATGGGCTTGCATAAAAGGACACAGAGCCAGTGGGCCTCAGACATGTGGCCACTCTTACCATGGTTCCTGAGTTCCCTCTCCCTGTGACAGACACCGAATGGAGGTCCGAAATTGTCAACAGCAGAAACTTTGACCGAGAGATTGGCCACAAAAACCCCAGGTGAGAGCTGGGTCCCCAGGCCTGAGCATAACCTTGCTGGCCACTGGCAGGTCCCCGGCCTCAGCTTCCTCCACTGAGTGATGGGATTGAGTTGCTCCTGGCGCATGAGTTGGTGCAAGTCTGGGCCATGGTTGAGAGGCCAGTTCCTTTACTGGGCACCAGGAACACGGAGACAAAACCTGACTTCTGACCCCCCACGGGCTCCCCTCAAACAAATTGTGAATGTAAGGCACGGAATGAGTGCTGAAAGGGACTTGCACCAAGAATGCATTTTGTTAACACCTGTGGGTGTGGGAAGACAATCAGGAAGGGCTTTCAGGAGGCAGCGGCATTTGATCTGGGCCTTTGTAGGATTTTGGCAGAAGGCCGAGAAACGGGGGATGGGGAGATGGCCTTGGTGCTGGGGCCTGGCTGGAGCCCGGAGCAGGCCCGTGTTGGGACGGGTCTTGAATGCACAGTGGGGCTTGGGAGCCGCCTGGGGCCAGGCAGGTGGGGAAAGGTCAGGGAGGATGTAAAGAACCACAGAGGGCCCATTTGACAACTGGTGGCCGTGGTGAGACAAGTTGGTGGGGGTCTGGGCAGGAGGTATGAAGCGCTGGGGGACAGGAGGCAGGACGAGGGCGCTCCAGCAGCCGAGGGGGACAGCAGCATCCGGGGGTAGATCGGGGGTAAAGATGAGACGTGCGCAGTGCCTGGGCTAGTCTGGACTTGCAGGAGCCCATGGGTGGGAACCTGGCCCCGCACAGCCCACAGATGGGACAGCCTCCGGCCAGCGCCCCACCCCGCTGACAGCTCCTTCTCTTCACAGTGCGATGGCAGTGGAGTCATTCACAGCAACAGCCCCCTTTGTCCAGATTGGCAGGTTCTTCCTCTCAGCGGGTAAGTTTCAGGCCCCTTCAGGTGAGCCGGTGGCACCTGGAGGCCTATGCTTGTACTCAGCCACCTCCCCGGAGCTGGCTGTGGGCTCAGCCCGCACTTTCCCGGCAGCACACTTTGGGCTGGGGACAGAGGGAAGGCAGATAGACGCCCAGCAAGTGGTGACTTGTGGGGGCGGCCCCACCTGAGCCTGGTTCCTCTGAACCATGGTCCCTCCCAGAGAATGAGTTCCAGGCACTGCTGTCACCAGACAGCTGAGAGCCCTTCCCCATGCAGCCGCAGAGCCAGCTGTAGAGAAAAGGCTGCCCCCGAGGCCGCCATCTCTGAGCCCCAGCCGGCACCCTGCCCTGTGTGACCAAGGGGGTGGTTCATTGCAGGCCCCCTGGGTGACACCAAAGAGAGGCTTTCCAGGGACAGGGTGGCACCACCAGCCCCAGTAAATCCTGGGGTGCTATCCCTGGGCCTGCCCCAGTAGGGTGGGAGAGAAGGCACTCGGGCCCCATATTGCACCCGGGTGAGGGAGAGAGGCTGTGCCCTGGGCCCTGACTTGTGTACCATCTGCCCTATTGCTCAGGTAGCAGCTTGCGCCTCTAGTGCAGTGCATGCAGGGAGTGGGCAGGGTGTGGGGGGCGGGACCTGAGGCAGGATGGGTGTGAGGGGTGGGCTGTTTCTAGAGCTGCTGCCACTCCTGCTGGCCCAGAAGGGGCACAGGGAGGCCTTCCTGGAGGAGATAGAGACTGAAAGGGCCTTTGGTGCAGAAGGCAGGGTTGGAGAGGGTGCTCCCGGGAGGCGGTCAGGTGAGGAGTGTGCAGATCGGGGGTGTTTGCACACTGCTGTTGTAACCGCTGTGCGCTCCTCAGGCCTCATTGACCAAGTTGACAACTTCAAGCCGCTGAGCCTCTCCAAGCTGGAGGACCCGCATGTGGACATCATTCGCCGGGGGGACTATTTCTACCACAGCGAAAACCCTAAGTATCCAGAGGTACACAGGGGCTTGGGCTGTTCACACAGCAGACATCGGGGCCCTCAGAGTGTCCACCCCTGGACAACACCCAGGAGCCACATTCCTGCTTGGGACTCTGATTCGGTTCAGTTGAATCTGCTTGGCCCACTGAGATCAGAGGGAAGAGCCTTGAGATGGGAGTACCTGGGCCGAGGTGTGGAGGCAGGAAAAGAGCTTGGGCTTTGGGTGCTGGGGACATGGGCCCAGGCTGGCTGCTCCTGGCCTCACTCTGCCCACTTCTCTTCCACCCCCAGGTTGGAGACCTGCGTGTATCCTTTTCCTATGCGGGGCTGAGCAGCGATGACCCCGACCTGGGCCCGGCTCACGTGGTAATCGGCTTCCCCAGGGCAGACCCAGACTCCTGACCTTCCAGGGCGCAGGCACCACGTATGATGCCATGAACACTTTGGACCCTTCCTCTAGGAAGTGCGTGCACGTGCTCAGCCCAGCACACGGGCAGGGGGCCTTGGAGCAGTGTCAGAGCTCTGTGTGCTCCACAGCCATCCGGGGACATCGGTGGCCCCGGGATAAGAACTGCCATTGTAGGGGGACCTCCTAATCACGCTCACACAAGTTCTTCCAATCGCATGCAGCTCGTCCTCCCCCAGCCCCCAGTTTCTGCTCTGTAAATACTCAGTCCCCAGTTCCTGACCCTGTCACATGCTTCTTTCTGTCAGGGTCTCCCTGGAGCTTGAAGTGAGGCAGCTCGGCTGAGCTCTGGGGGCCGATAGGTGGAGAGAGGGGCCCCAGGCTGGCACGGGTCTTCTCACAGTCTCCCCCAGTCTCCCTCCAGTGCGGAGGGGTGCCAGTCCCCTCAGCTCTAACACTGAGTTCTCCGATCAGGTCACTGTGATCGCCCGGCAACGGGGTGACCAGCTGCTTCCCTACTCCACCAAGTCTGGGGACACCTTGCTTCTCCTGCACCACGGGGACTTCTCGGCAGAGGTAAGTTGCTGCTGCCTGCCTGTGTGATGGAGGGGGAGGCATCTCCCTCCACCCCTCTCCCCTCCCGTGGTTATTTAATAAGCTCCCACACCAGACGCCATAGCTAGTTTAATGAGGCAAGAAAATTGAAAGGAGGAGGAATCTACCCGTATGTGCAGTGGACTGTGTGCAACACTGAGGATGGAACAGAGGCCTAGCAGACCTCTCCTCACATCAGAAGCAGCAGCAAGTGAGGACAGCGGGTGCTGAGAGCCATACAGGGGAGGCAGGCACTCTGAAAAATGGACAGGATGATAGGAGATGGACTGACAGTGGTCAGGGGAAGCCTCTCTGAGTTTGGTGGAACCATAAGTGAAGAGAGAGGGGTCAGAGCTGGAAGAATCCAGGGTCAGACCAGAGGAGTTGAGGCCAAGAGTGGGAGCACCTAGATTGGCATGTAGCTGCTGCCCAGAGAGGAGGGTGAACTGGGAAGGCAGGGCTGCTGCCGAATGGGCGAAGGCTCCTGAGGGGTGTGGCTTAAGAGTATTAGTGAGGGGATTAGAGTTGCGGAGTCCCCATCTGTAAAATGGGGAGGGTCATGCCTCACCTAAGTCCCTAATCTCTCATTAGTTCGACTGCATGCCTTAAAGGTCATCCTCTCTCCTCCAGGTGGAAACCCTTCTCTTTAACAGAAAAACTGTTTTTACATTGTTGACGAACACAGTGTGTCCCTGGTGGGAAATCCTGTGGGGCTTTGAGAAGGAAAGGTGGGTGGGGGTCCAGGCACCTCTGTGGCCCATTTCCATTATCTGGCCCCCAGCCCCAGGTGGTGAGGGGCCTCACCTTGTCCTCACTCCACCCAGGACCAGGGTGTGGGCTGGCTGCGGCCCCGGAGCCAGTTGCCAGCCTCGGAGAGAGGCTGCCACCTCCCAGTGGGCAGTGGGCGGGCATGAGTCACCCTTTCTGTGGCAGCTCTCGGGGAGTCTCCAGAGTTAGGAGGCCCTGCCCAGGCTTCTCTGTCTCCTGTGGCTCCAGCACCATCCCACACTTCAGTCTCCTGCAGGTGGGGGCCCAGGTCTCAGAGCTGTTGCCCCCAGAGGGGAGTTGGGAGGATGGGGCTCGTGACCTGATGACTCCCAGGAAGGAAGGCTCAGGCAGTGCTGAGCACCCCAGGGCCTGGGGTCTCTTCCAAGCAGGGAGAGAAGGCCCTGAGCCAATGAGGTGGCCCAGCCCTGAGGAGAAAACCAGACCCTGCGAGTCAGGGTGCCCAGATTCTGGCCGTGGGGGCAGGAGGGCCCAGTGTGGACAAGCATGGCCACGAGCTGGCCCAGCTCAGGCTCTGCTCTGCCTTCCACCTCAGGGTCCACTACAGGACCCTGAGCCTGTTGTCGATCCTCTTGGATGATAATAACTATGATCTTTATTTTATTTGGTATTGTTAAGATCATTCACTCATTTATTCAGAGCCTTGGTTTCCTTATCTGTAAAATGGAGATAAGTGTGTCTACCTTGTGAAGTTTTTTGAGGATTAAGTAAAGCCGTACTTGTAAAGGCCTGAGGACGGCAGCTGGTAAGGGGCAAGCAGTAAATGTTCGCTGCCCTCACTGTGATTGTCGTAGACGACGGGGGCGCTCTCTAACGAAATGCCAGTGAGGCTGGCACTGGAAGAATGCGTAGGACCTGGCTGGGCAGGACTGTGTGCAAACCTGCTCCAGGTGGAGCAAGCACATGTGCAAAGGCCCTGGGACAGAACGACACTTGACCTGGTCCCTGGACAGGCAGCAGCTGTGGGGAGAAGGTGGTGGCAGTGGGGAGGTTAGAGGGGAGGAGGCCACTGCAGGGGTCCTGGTGCAGGTGACTGTGGGGAGAGATTTGGGGAAACGTGGGCACAGCCTTGACAGGACTTGCCGACGGGCCGGATGGGAGGCGGCACTTGCTGGGAGCAGCGAGCCCAGGTGACACTCTGGGCTTGTGCAGGTGGTGGGCAATGGTAGCACGTGCTGCGATGGAGACGACAGGAATAGGTTGGGGGGTTTGGGGGCGGGGGTAGGCAGCAGCATTGGTGTGGGATGTCACGGGAACAGTAGGCGGGCAGGGCTGTGCCTAGAGACGGCGGGTGGGGGGCGGGCAGGGTGGTGGTTCTGGAATGGAGGCGCCGGGGAGGTGGTGGGACTGGTGCAGAGGGTGCACCTTGGGACTCCCCCATGCAGAGGGCAGTCAGAGGGTGTGGTGGCCACGGAGACGGTGAAGCAGGGGGGCAACAGAGTGGGGTGCCCAGAACCCCAAGAAGAGCGGCCAAGGTGTAGCATGACACAGGACACACGGGGGGGGGGGGGGGGGGTAAATGACCCTGGAAAGGAACCGCCGTCGGATGGAGGTTGGGGCTCATTCTGGACTCTCCACCTTCCAGAGGTCTCCTGCTCCACCCCACGCTGAGCGCAACAGGCACGCACTTAGGCCTGAGTAGGAGATGTGCCCTCACCTCCCCTGGTCTCAGAAAAATGGCCAACAGCTCCTGGGTCAGCATGGACCCTGGCGCCCACCCTGCTAGCTGGGGAGGCTGCTGGCCCTTCAGAGACCTGAGATGTGACGCCCCTCCCCTCCCTGCCCTGCAGGAGGTGTTTCAGAGAGAACAAAAGAGCAACTCCCTGAAGACATGGGGCCTACGGGCCGCCGGCTGGATGGCCATGTTTATGGGCCTCAACCTCATGACCCGGATCCTCTACACTCTGGGTAGGTGTGCGGGAACAGATGGGGGATCTTGCACACCCTCAAGCCCGTGTGCTTCCCCTGCACTTCTTGCACTGTCCATCAGCCTCTGTGGCCCACTGTGCCACTCTCTGGGGCAGAGTCCAGGCATCCGGCCCATGTCTGGGTCCCACTGTGCAGCTTGGGAGGAATGGGCGGAGGAAGACAGATGGACAGGTGCTTTCGGGGGTGGGGGTGGGCCGGGGTGCCAGCTCCCGGAGGGAGTGTGTGGGAGGGTTCCCTGTGGCTCCTGTGACATGTCCCCAGCTGATCCACTCTTTCCTTCACCTTCACCCCATAAGCAAGCAGCCCCGGCGGGGAGAGTGGCCAGACTGCAGTGGGCCAGGCCTCAGATCTGTTACGTCAGAGCACTGGGTACTGGGCCTTGCCCCTTCCTGTCTCAGCGTCCGTCATCTCACACATCACCTCACACCTAATATGCATTTTTGTGAGATGTTTGGCAAATAGGAAACACCCCAGAATTGTTACGCTTCCCCCTGCCCCCCATGAGCTGGGCTAGATTTGGGGCAGCCAGCAAGCTAGAGTGCAAGGCAGAGCGCTGGGCCCAGCAGGACTGAGGCCCCGGGTGACTGAGGAAGCACCCGCTCTGCGCTGCCGATCTAGGGGGATGGGGCTTCCCAGGGGACTTGCCTCCATGCCTTTACCCCAGTGTGTCCAGGACCAGCCCTCGCCGGGCCCCATGTACCCTTTCCAGTGGGGGAGAGGTCTGGCCGCAGTACATCCCGGCCCAGGAGGTAAAAGGACACATCTCCCTCCAAGCTGTCACCTCTAGACAGCTGAGTTGTGCTCACAGCCGCCAGGCACATCTTGCGCCATTTAGGAGATCAGAGTCCTCCATCTGACGATCCTTTGCACTGAGCCCCAGTGTGACCTCGGGCAGGCCGTTTCCCCTCTCAGAGCCTCAGATCCCCCATCGCCAGAGGTGGGAATCTGTCTCAGAGGGCCCTTGGATTCTCTGGAATTAAAGGCTGGATTCGCTGGATCCTAGACTGTACCCCACCAGACCAGTGGCCTGTGACATCCTTAAGGTGGGAGCCGCCCGACTTAAGCTAATTTCCGTCCTGTGGCACAGAGCTGTGTGCACAGAGGTAACTGGTAATGACTTGAATGGCTGAGAAGCCCAAATCGGCACCCGCAGAAGGTTCTTTGTGGTGCGAAGCAAAGGTAATTTGCCACCATCATGGGCACGTCTTCTGTTGGTCTCAGACCGACTGCACCATGGCCTCGGCATCTCACCACCTCTCTCCTCCTCACAGTGGACTGGTTCCCCGTCTTCCGAGACCTGGTTGCCATTGGCCTGAAGGCCTTCGCCTTCTGCGCAGCCACCTCGCTCACCTTGCTGACCGTGGCTGCTGGCTGGCTCTTCTACCGGCCCCTGTGGGCCCTCGGCATCGGCTGCCTGGCCCTGGTGCCCATCGTCCTTGCTCGGACGCGGGTGCCAGCCAAAAAGCTGGAGTGACACAGACCCTGGCACCCGCCCAACGCCCACGTGACCCTCAGGACCCAGCTCACTCCGCCCCTCGTGACCCGCCGCTTGCCCCCACATGAGTCCACGTTGGTTTTGGATTCTGCACCTGCTCCTCAAGTGTCCAGACTCAGCGGAGCGCATGGACATCAGGTTTGGTGCCACCAGCTTGTGTCGTCCCCGCCTTCTTGCCACTGGGCAGCTCCAGGATCTGGTGAGCAGGGAAGGCAGCTCCTGACTGGCAGGGCGACAGCCGTCCGTTGTGCTTGCTTCCTTCCCTTCTTGGGACTGTGTGCGGCCCCTTCCCGTTTTGCTTTGCTCATGTCTGCAGACGGGGAGGTGGGGACACCCCACACAGAGCTGCTGCCGCAACACTCCCCCCCTCGTCCGTGGAGATAAGTGCCAGGGCTCTGCCCAGCCGCCCCTGCCCGTGATCCCCTGGGCAGCACTGCTGGACAGACCGTGCACGGGGCCCCAAAAGCCAGTCACAGTGAAGACAACTGGGACATTTGTTGGGTTCTATTTACGTGTATTTGATGGTTTGGCTGAAATTTCTTAGTGTATAGGATTTCCAGAGGTCTCACTTGGTATGTTTCTTTGCTACACTTCATGTGTGTTTTCCTTCCCTGAGAGGCTGGAGTTGTTTCCAGTTAAGATGTAAAAACACAGAACTGCTTGAATGCTGAACACTTCAGACTGTTTGAGAAAAACACCTCATCTGCCAGCTGAAGTTAACGCAGGGCACGGAGAGGTGTCACCAGGGGCGTGCCTTGCTGCTTAGAAAGTAGCTCCGTCGGTACTCTGGTCACTGGGGGGTTGAGGGTGCTTTTGGAGCCAGCGTTGGTGAAGCGATCCCGCTCTGGGAGGAGAGGGAAGTTTGCGGGAGGTGGAGAAAGGCACTGCCGTTTATCCTCTGGCGTCAGAAACTACCGATTCACTTGAAGAGGATTTTGAGCTTTTAGTCAGCCATTCAAGAAGGCTGGAAGCTTTCCTATCTTAAGCGGGCTCCCTTGTGCCCCCTTCACCCCAAACCAGAAATCCGAGCTGAGGCTTGTGCGGGGCCCACGAGGCTTTTCTGTTTGCGGCCGTCCTGGGCGCTGCCTCTGGGTGGCTCCTGTTCTCCCATGTCCCCGGCTTCACGGAGTGAGACCTCCCCGCACTCCGCTCCGCTCCCGTTTCCCAGCTCCTCTCACCCTCTGAAACACGTATGTTGTCACCTTGATGTCTTAAAAGAGCCTTCGTGTATCGTTTATCTTTTTATTCCTTGGAAACTGTCTGCCCTGCTGGGAGCGGTCGCTCTGGCAGATGAGTTGGTAGTTGAGTAAGTGATCAGACTTCATCTCTCCGTGGCCTGGGAGGTCTGTGGTGTGACTTCAGATTCAGAAGACAGCCGGCCCCAAAGAGGCCTGAGCTAGATTTAAGAATCGAAACCGTGTTCACCACTGCTTATTACATGAGCGCGTGTCGAGTCTCTCTCCTCTTGAAGGATGCTTTTGGAAGACAGCACAACCATTTTAAATCACTGCAAATTTCAATAGTGTTCTTAAACAGCAAAGTCACATTAAGAAATATTTGGAGTCTTTGGGAAATCATGAAATTTGTATCCTATTTGTATTTTTGATAAAAATTCAAAATAAATTTCAAAATAGCTTTTATAAGAACTTGTTACTCTCTTTTTGAAATTTCTGTCTTCAGCAGTTGAGCTGCAGAACTAAAGAACTGTAGGAGTTTGTAGAACGCCATTCTAAGTAGCTTCTCATGGTTAAAATGGATTTCAGTTTTTTAAAAGGGCAACTTGTTATTTTTAACGCATACTTTGTTTTGGATCGACTCGAAGTAAATGACTCACCCAGCTTCGGAATGCAGCAGAAGCGCGGGACGGAGGCACGGTGTAACACGGTGCCGAAGGGCCCCAGACGCTAGGCTGGCACAGACCAGGGTTCTGGCCGTGTGACGCCGGCCAAGTCCGTGACCAGAGTCTCCGGTCCCTCATCTGTGACATGGCCACAGTGCCCTTCTCCCCTCCTGCAGCAAGGGCCACAGGAGATGAAGCCCTGCCATGGGGCACATTAGTTTTCCCCCTGTGCCTGTTTTTTTCCTTCCATGTTTGTTTACTTTGAGAGTGCGTGCACGGGATGGGCAGAGAGAGAGAAATAAGGGGGAGGGAGAACCCCAGCAGGCTCCACACTCCGTGCAGAGCCTGATGCGGGGCTCAATCTTGTGACCATGAGGTCATGACTTGAGCCGAAATCAAGAGGATGTTGAGTCTACGGGGCCACCCAGGTGCCTCCCTGCCCCCTGCCTCCTGCTCTGAGCCCACGGACTGACTGCTGACGGTCATGCCCGAGCTGGCAGCGTGTGTGCTTTCTGTCACAAGATGTGACGCAGGTGAGTTACTTCCCCAAACCTACTCTTCTCATGTGTGATCTGACGCTTCAGTTCCTTCCCATCTCCCTGGAGCTGACTCTGCAGACACTGTAGTTCAGCTCCCACTCACCCCTGTGCTTACCTCTCGGAGGGCGCGCAGGAGCGGGAGGCCCCGCCGTGGCCATGGCAACCCTGCTCTGTTTGTCAGCACCAGCCCTCCAGCCAGGCTCTTGCTGCATGAGTCACACCCCAAGTGTTTTGTTTGTTTCCCGTGGACAGAACTGCCTCCAAGTTTTAGTGGCTCCTCCTGTCAAGGGGTCAGTAACCTGTCTCCTGTAGGAAGAGGGGCAGTTTGTATGAGGAGTGCCCAGTGCCCCGGAGAGCGAGAACTGACCTGCAGCGTCAGCACATGGCCAGACCCTCTGCCTCACACATGGTCGCAGGTGACGTGAAATCTACAAGAAAATGCAGAGCCAAGTCTTTTTACATAAATGCTTTATTTTCTTCCTCAACATGATACAAAAGGTGTTTCTCCTGAGTATCTACAACGCATAGAGCTTTTATAAATTTACCCCAGAATGAATAAAACGCAGTTTAACACCGATCCACATCATACTAACATTTAACTCTCAGTGTTTTTCCTTTTCTTTCCTGATTTCAGCTCTGTGTTCCAGACAACTGCCACCCTGAAATGTCACTTTGCAAAGGAGATCCGACAACCCACCATCTGAGCTGAGCACACCTCCCCCTGCTCTCTCCCATGTCACAGAGGGTGGCTGTAGGCAGTGGTAGTAAACCTGACGGAGGGAAGGTGAGTGGCCTGCAGAGAAGGGGTCCCAGGTCTGCAAGAGACGCAAAAGCGCAGCACGGGGGTCTGACAGAAATCCACCTGGAAGGACCGGTACGTTCCTCAACTGCCCAGAGGTGGCTGTACAAGAGTGACTCACATTTCCAGAGATGCGTGAAGCGACGTCTGTGTGGCGGAGTCTCCCGGGAGGTGCTCCGGAGCTCCAAGCGCAGGGCCGGGGCACAGAAAGCGTGGGAGGCGTGCCCCTGGGGACTCTGACCAGGACCGGGGCCAGACCAGACACCTGAACTTGACCGTCTGTCCCTGGCCCTCAGCTGCAGCGCTGCTTCTGTGCCTTCACAGGAGACGCCCCCGGGGCAGGCGGGTGGCCCAGGATGCGTCACAGCCTCTCAAATGGGAACAGGTGGGAGGCTGCCGCCCTCCGCTCCCTCTTGGTCTTCTTGGGGCTCTGCAGCTTCTGTTCCTCCTCGGCCTCTCGGTTTTGGGGCCAGGAGGCAGCCAGGATCCTGGACACCTGTGCCTGAGAGCTGGTCCCCTCCTCCTCGTCAGAAGAGAGTCCGCCTCCCGCATCTACTTGGGCAGCTACAGCCTCGCTCTGCAGGGGGAAGGATGGGGCAGGCCCCGGGTCAGCTCAGAAGGCAGGAAGCACCGTTGGGGCAGGAGAGCCCCCATAGCAGCCTACCCAGAGCCAGTGGTTCTGGGAATACAAGGCCCCACTGGGGCTGGGGAAGAGCCCTCCTCAGACTGGGACTCCTCCACACGAGTCCTGGAGAACATGCTGTGGGCATGTTGCTGGGGTCACAAAGATGTCTATACAGAAAGCTGCCCTGGCGGAGTGGACGACCACACCTAGACCTCTTAGTGCCACCTCGCTTGGGAAAAAGGTGCATTAATGTCTCTAACTCCAGAGGACCACTCTCAGTGCCAAGCGGTCCAAGGAGGCACCTCCGTGGGAATGGGTGGGCTGGGGAGCTGGGCAGGGAGGGCTGGGAGGCAGAAGGTGACAGCGCACAGGTGGACGGTGTCAACATAAAGCCTGGTGAAAGGTCACCAAAGGGATTTGAGGGAGAAGCATGACAAAATATTTTTTAAAGGCAAATTGGAGACGGGGAAGAAAATAGGTGTGGCCACAGCTATTCCCAGAGCACATTCTGTGTCTGACCCAGTACTGGCCACACCGCATAACCCTATGGAGGGGCCTCTCCACCCCCTACAGAAGCTCCTTGAGGGCTGTGTCATGTCAGCTTCACACCTGTGCCCAGAGGCTGGCCCAGCCCGGAATGTGAATTACACGAGGAGCCCTGGGCCCGGAGGATGGTCACAGGCACAGGGTGCACTGCAGTGTAAGGGTGACATGTCAAACAAATGCAGGATACTTGTCCCTCCCTGGATGGCTTTAGCACGAGATCAGACCCACAGCAGGCACTGGCTCGTGCAGAAAACAGGCAAGTGGTGGCAGGGTAGCACTGGGGGGCTGGAAGAGCCAGCCGAGGCTCATTTCAGGGACACCTCTCCCAACGAGATAAGGACCTGGGGCCTCAGACACACAGAACCATGGTGTCAAGACAGAAGGAACCTCTGGGCAGAATCGGGGCCCGTGGTTCGCAGTCGCCCTCTCCCACTCAGGCTCATCTCCTCCCAAAGAAGCCACACTGACCTTGTCCCCGTAGCGAAGCTTCAGCCTCTCCCTGATGAGCAGTCCTCTGGCCAGGAGCTTCCAGTTCCCCAGGGCCCGCTTCTCCCTTTTCTGCAGGCAAGACGAAACAAGAGCACAAAATGTTGAGTTCCGCCATTTTCAGGAGAAATGTCAAGATGGACCCTGTGAACGTATAAAGATCCAAAATAAAATTTTAAGCTAAAGTGTTTCCCGAGCATATGCCTAAGCTGTTTAAATCAGGGTGATAGGGTGCCAGGGGCTCAGGCGGTTCAGCGGCTGACTCGCCTCAGGTCATGATCTCGCAGACTGAGTTCGAGCCCCATGTCAGACTCTGTGCTGACAGCTCGGAGCCTGGAGCCTGCTTTGGATTCTGTGTCTCCCTCTCTCTCTGCCCCTCCCTTACTCACCCGCACGCGCGCGCTCGCTCTCTCTCAAAAATAAAGATTAAAAGAAAAACATTTAAAATCAATGGGACTGGGGTGCCTGGGTAGCTCAGTCAGTTAAGCATCCAACTTCAGCTCGGGTCATGATCTCACGGTTCCTCAGTTCAAGCTCTGCATCAGGCTCTGTACTGCTAATGCAGAGCCGGCTTTGGGTCCTCTGCCCCTCCCCATAGGCATTCCTTTCTTAAACGTTAAAAACAAAATTGGCGTGATTTATAAAATGAGGCACATAAAAGGCAGCACAACAGAAGCATCTCATGAACTATTAGCAACCCTAACACCCTCAAGGAGGGGGCTACACAGAATTGGACCACGGGCCATTCCTTCCCGCAGGAGCAGGTGCAGGGGTCCCCAGAGCCAGGAGTCAGGCAGACTGTGGGCAAGGATGGTGGACTATGAGGTGCACACAGGACTCTGTTTATCTAGGGCGGGCTCCTTGGGGTGCTGGAAAGAGCTTTCAAGCGCATGTACTCTCCTCTCCATGGTGCAAGAGGGCCCTGCCCCACTGGGGGCTTGTGTCCCCTGCCATTCCAACACCTCAGGCCCCCACCCAGGCCCGGCCACTCACCTCCTTCTCCTTCTTTTCGATGAGCGCCTGCTCATTTTCCCAGGCAGCCAGGAGCACGTCTTTGTATTCCTCACAGACAATGTACCCATCAGTTCTGTGGGGGATGCAACACGGATGGTCCTGCCTCCTACTCTGGCCTCTCCTCCCCTGCGTGGAGGCCAGCAGGCAGCTCCTAGGCACTCAGTGCCCTGAAGGATTCCCTGCATCAGCCACCCACAGTCCCAGCCACAGCTGCCAACTGACGCTGCCCATGCAGAGGAAGAGGGCCCCCCACCCAGGCCCCCTGGGAGGACAGAGGCCACCAAGCAGGAAGCATGCTGCCCTTGTCTGGTCACCTGTCACCACCCCCAGCAAACCGTTTTCATCCAACATCATTAATTTTGCTCCCTCTGGATGGAAGCCAGAGTAGAAGTGTGAAAGTAAAAGGTCAAGTGCTAAGGCTGATTTTGCAGATGCAGAGTAGAACCCGGAAAATGGCCTCCACCCTCATGTGGACTTCCCGCCCCTCCTCCTGGCCTCCCTGGAAACCCCCACACACATGGGATGGGAGTAGCCCTTATGGAAGTCGAAGCCAGTAATGGCCTGCGCACAGTCGATGTCCAGCTTGCGGGCTATGCGGTGCAGGTTGGGCAGGTTCAGCTGGACACAGCCGACCGGCATCATGCTGGGCAGGAAGAGGTACACGTTCCCAAATTCATTCCGGGGGACCTGCAGGGGGGTGGCACACCAGGTCTAGCCGGCTGCAGAATGAAGCGGCCTGGTCCGGGCCCCACTGTGCACCGCCCTTACCTTGCCGTCCACGGCCACGGGCGGCTGGTACTCCTCCGTCTGCCACCTGCCAAACAGGCCCAGGTCATTTTGGTCCTGCAGCTGGGGCTCGGCGAGGCGGGCTTTCCGGGCCCGGTTGGAATAGCCCTTCACCATCTACACCAGAGGGATCAGCCAGGTTGCGGCACAGACTACCACTTCTGAAGCACTGACTGCATACTGGCCGTTGTGCTGAGTGCTTTACACCCGTGGCGCCAGTAAACCTTCCCAACACACCCGTGCTCCCCGATGATGTCTAGCGGCCAAAATTTTCCCTCGGAGGGATTGGCTAGAAGGCCACATAACTTCTACGAGGAGGAGTGGTATGGGCGAAGGGAGCAGGGCCAAGGACTGGCACCTGCACACTGGCTGCCTCCAGGACAGGGGTTCGGCAAAGGCTTTCCGTAAAGAGTCATGTGCAGCCTGTTTTCCGACCCTTACAAAATATGAAACTTCCTGCATGCTCTCAATAATTTGTACCTTACAAATTCCTCATTAAAGGAAGCCATATTTGAATGTGCTTCCCTTCCTCCAATCTTTCTCCAGCCAGAAGGGCCCGCACTCAGCAGCCCTTAGTGCCCATGCCTCAGCCCTCAGCGCGCCTCCTAGCGGTTACCTTGTAGGGCACTTCTCCCAGCCGCACCACTCTCGCCTGTTTCAGCCACGTGTCCCGGGAATGCAGGGTATGCACGCAATCCCTGTAGGAGCCCACAGGGGGAGACACAGAACAAACCCAGGTCACACCAGCCCGAAAGGAGCGTGGTGTGCACAGAGGCACGGCTCACACCTCCTCCCAGAAGGATGTGCTCAGCCCTCAATTCTCTCCTAAGGCCCTGCTCCTGAGGGAACCGGGGCACCTGCGTTACACAAACAGCTAACCTGGACTTCCTATCTTCTGGGGGAGGCATCCACTTACGAACCCTGACCTGCTGGAGTACTCTGTCTCTTAGGCTTCATGCCAAAGCTTCGCCCCTTCTCCCACTGAGAGAGGCAGCTTGCGGAGGGCAAGGTAGCTGAGTGAGTGCATGGCTGCAGAAGGCCTAGTCTGCTGCTGAACACAAGGGGGGGGGGGGGGATGAGTGTCCAAAGATGGCAGTGAACCCCAAGGAAGATTAACTACAAGAAGTTAATGAACGACCACGGAATTAAGATTCATGCCTGTGAGAAAGTCATTAATTCCCAGCAGCCTGATTAGAGATAGATCCTCTGGTTTTGCTCTCCTTCCAGAGCTAGGAGCTATACCCTTACAAGGCTACTTTCCAACAAGTTCCAGTTGCCTTCCTTGATGAGCCTCCTTTGACGGGGCATGCCTGTCTCTTCCTCAGCTGGCAGCCCTGACCTCTGCCCAGGGAGCAGCTCCAGTGAGCACGGGCAATAAGTAAGTGCTCTTCCAGTGCAGCAATCAGGTCCTTCCACGACCGCCCCATCTCAGGCAGACCTTCGGCACAGCACAGTGCACGAGGGGTGCACCGCCTTCCCCTGCGCCACTGCCTAACGGAGTGACCCCGGACAACCCCCTTCCCCTTCCTGATCCTCAGCACCCTCCTCGATCAGTCAGGGGGTAATGAGCTCTATGTGCTCTGCTTTGCCAGGTTGCTGGACGATCAGGCGCACTCGAGGCCCCGGAGCAACGCTCCTCAGTCCACAGCGCCCCTGTCCCAACTGGGAGCTCCACCCACACTCCTACTAAAGGCCGCATGTCTCCGACTGCCTGCAGGGATAAAGTCACAGTCGTGGTCTTCACGCAGGACAGGCAGCGAGGCAGGTGGGCACTATCTGGACGTTCCCAAAGAGAACAGCCGGGTAGGGACCCAGCCCTGTTAGAATAAATCTCAGCCTCTAACTACTTCATACCCACGAGGGCGGCTATTATGAAACACACCAGAATGTAAGTGTCAGCAAGGGTGTGGAAATACTGGGGTCTTGCACTCTGCTGGCGGGACTGTGAGACGACGCACCTTTGGTGGAAAACCATAATGGCGGGTCTTCACAACGTGAAACACCTAATTCCCGTACGACCAGCAACACCACTGCTGGGCAGATGCCCCAAAGAACTGGAAGCAGTCACTCAGAGACAGCTGTACACCCCTGCCCATAGAGGCAGGAGTCACAGTAGCCAAGCACAAAAGTGACAAGTGTCCACCACTGAATGCCAGCCATAAAAGGACAAACCCTGCACGGTCCCACTTGTGTGAGGTCCTGAAAGATGTCAGATGCACGGAGGTGGAGAGTAGGCGAGTGGGTGCCAGGGGCTGTGGGAACGGGGATGGGGAGTTAGTGTTCAATGGGGACAGAGATTCAGGTTGGGAAGATGAAAAAGGTCTGGAGATGCTGGGTGGGGATGGCTGTATGATCACATCAATGACTGACACCACCGGACTGTACACTCACAAATGGTTAAATGGCACTCTGGTATATTTTACCACCTGAAAAATTGTCTACCTCTAATGCTTTCTCCTCTGGCGGACATGGTGGTCCCCGCACTGGCACCTTCTTCCTACCAGACCTCCTGTCCCCCAACCATGTGAAGAAGCCTGTGCCTTACCACCACAGTCAGGGTGGCCTGCCCCGAGGACCTCTGACGTCGTAGCTGAGGCCCTGAGCAGGAACAGGCTGGGACAGAAGCCGAGGCCTGGGCAGGAATAGGCTGGCACAGAAGCCGAGGCCCTGAGCAGGAACAGGCTGGGACAGAAGCTGAGGCCCTGAGCACGCTGGAACAGAAAACTCCAGCCCAGACCCTGAACAGGGTGGTGGCTGCCTCCCTGTGGGGTTGCCATGCGGACAGAGTCCCCGCTCAGAGGACTCACCCCACCCACTCGTGTGATTTCCCTGTTTTCTCTTTCTTCTCCCATATGTGAAGAACATCCTCTATACTACCTTTGGTCTTGCATTCCAATGTTTAAAAAAAAATTACTTTTAGTTATTACTTCTCTCAATTGCTATTTCTTAAAAGTTCTGTTTCTATTTTTCTTTTTTCGGAATGCTAAAATGATCTGTTTTAATTTTGTGTATATTTAATGTTCATTTTCTCTTATTCCTTTCCTCCCTTCTTTGGCGTGTGTGTGTGTGTGTAGAAAATATACATAAAATGCATCATGCTCACCATGATTAAGTGTGCAATTCAGTGGCATTAAGTACACAGTGTTGAGTAACCATCCTCACCATCCATCTCCAGAACGTTTTCATCTTCCCAGAGAGAAGCTCTGTCCCCATTAAAATATCCACTCACTTTGTCATGATCAAATCTTTTATTCTCTTTATTCCTTATAGTTTACAGGTGTGTTTTTTACTCTTATATAAACTTTGTACTTTTAATTTTCCCCATAACCTTTTTTTATCTTTCAATCCTGTTGTTCTCATCTTCAAGCTATAATCCCCTCTACACATGTCCCACATGGGACAGCACGCACACACCAGAAAGCTCAATCCATTTGACAAAGGGCCAACGTTAGCAGCCCCTTCCCCAGAAGGTCACTAGTCCCAGGCCATCAGGAAGACAAAGCCACCGGGCCGCCTCACGCACCTGGAGTAGACAGCCTCTCCACGACAATACCCAAGAATGGCGGCTGTCTCGGGGTAGATGGCCTCGTATTTCAGGAGATGCCTCTTCAGGGCGTACAGAGGGTGGTTCTTGTATGTGCCAATGACAGTTGGCAAAGGCTGGCCCAGGTGCTTTGCCTGAAACTGCAAAGGCCAGAGAGACAACACTGAGCATGTCTGGAAGAGGTGAGGTCTGAGGTGGGCGATGCTTAGACCACCTTGTTCAGAGCAGTGGAGCAGAGGTTTAACAAGCACCAGTATCAGGAACATCCCATTTGTAGGTCAGGGATATAAGTAGGTTTTAGATAAAAGGAAAGCTACAGAAGCATGTAATTCTGTGGCTCACAACACCTTGAAGGGTCACCTAACCTTCTCATTCTTAGCACGCAGACCCCTGGGCCAGCCCTGCAGAACAGTGCCTACTCTGGTCCTTGGGGAAGACACATGGCTTTCTTCAGGAAGGCGGCCCTACCCGGAAGTGACACCACTGCTGTGCAGTGAGCGTGTACCTGACCCTGCTCTCCTGGGAAACTCAAATGTACCTGGGTGTAGTCTGCAGTAACTAGTACTTGTTCTCCTAGCGCTCCTTCAAGGATGCAATTTCTCGGGGCAACTGCACTGCTGCAGTTCACATCCTATTCCCCAGGGGCCGGGGGCGGGGGGGGTCCCTGGCCCCTTTCCCAATGGCACTCGCAAATTAGCAAAGTGGGAGCACCATCAGCGTCACAAATACTTTTCAGGACACCACATGTGCAACCCTCACCCATCCCATCACTTCTAAGTAAAATGAGCCCCAATACCACCGGAGCTAACTCAGGGCAGAGAGAACTGCAATGCCACAAGGAATGCCCCATAAACACGGCCTCACCCATCCTGATATGTGGGGGGAACTTGTCAGCAAATCTGGACAAATGCCGAGCTCCACCCAACACAACTGCCACGCACAAGGGGCTGGGGTCAAGGAGTGGTCCTAGAACACACTGTACTCTCTCTTAGCGGTCAGTTTCCTAGAATGCCTTCCCAGGAGAGGACTGTTCTAGACCCGAGGAGGGGCCTCTGTGTGTACGCTTGGTGGGGGGTGAGGGGGGGAACAGAAGACCATCGCATTAGTGACTTTTTCTTCTTTCACTCAGTGCAATTTATAGGACTTGCATAAATTATTATATCCAAGTTTACAACTACAGAAGAAAGAAAGCACCCGGTATATGGCTTCAAAGCCAGAGAGACACTAGTTCAAATACTAAGGCAATTAATCACATCGTATTTTAACTGATAAAATTTAGGCAATAATCATTCCACCTCTTTAATACTGTTGTCATAATTACAGGAGACCACAAACAGATACCCCACGCGGGGCTGGTCGGACTTAATGTGCATGAAGATGGGCCTCGAACTCATGGCAGGTGAGGTCCTACCTCCTCCTTCTCTAGCAGCGTTACTCTGAATCCTCCTCCTCCCTCGCCACCACCCTTACCTCTGGGCCCTCCTCCTTCCTCTCCACCAGCCTTACCTCAGGGCCCTCCTCCTTCCTCTCCACCAGCCTTACCTCTGAGTCCTCCTCCTCCCTTACCACCAGCCTTAACTCAGAGTCCTCCTCCTCCTCCCTCGCCACCAGCCTTACCACTGAGTCCTCCTCCTCCCTCTCCACCAGCCTTACCTCAGGGCCCTTCTCCTCCCTCTCCACCAGCCTTACCTCAGGGCCCTCCTCCTTCCTCTCCACCAGCCTTGCCTCTGAGTCGTCCTACTCCTCCCTCTCCACCAGCCTTTCCTGAGTCATCCTCCTCTTCCACTCTACCAGCCTTATCTCTGATCTTCCTCCTCCCTCTCCAATATCTTTACTCTGAGTCCTCCTCCTCACTCACCACCAGTCTTACTTCCGACTCTCCCTCCTCCGTCTCCCCCACCCTTACCTCTGATTACTGCTCCTCCCTCTGGAGCATCCTTACTTCTGGGTCCTCCACTTCCTTCTCCACCAGCTTTGCCTGTGAGTCCTCCTCCTCCTCATTCTCCACCAACCTTGCTTCTGAGTCCTCTCCCTCCTCCCTGTCCACTTCTTCCCCCTTCTTCAACACCATTACTGCTGAGTCTTTTTCCTCCCTTTCCATGAGCCTTGCCTCTTTTTCCTCCTCTTCCTCCCTCTCTACCAGCCTTGCCTGAGGCCTCCTCCTCATGCTCTCCACCAGTCTTACCTGAGGCTAGTCCTCCTCCCTCTCCGTGCCTTACCTGTGTCCTCCTCTTCCTTCTCCACCAGTCTTACCTGAGGCTAGTCCTCCTCCCTCTCCAACAGCCTTGCCTCAGGGTCCTCCTCTCCACCAGACTTGCCTGAGTCCTCCTCCTCCCTCTCCACAGGCTTTCCCTCTGAGCTCTCCTCCTTCCCAACCACCAGTCTTAACTGAGTCCTCTCTTCCTACCTCTCCACCATCCTTACCTGAGTCCTCCTCATCCCTCTCCACTAGCCTTACCTCTGAGTCCTCCTCATCCCTGTCCACCCACCTTACTATGTGTCCTCCTCATCCATCTCCACTAGCCTTACCTCTGAGTCCTCCTCATCCCTATCCACCCACCTTACTTTGTGTCCTCCTCCTCCTTCTCCAGCAACCTTGCCTATGAGTCCTCCTCATCCCTCTCCACCAGCCTTACCTCTTGTGTCCTCTTCCTCCTTCCTCTCCACCAGCCTTACCTCCTCCTCCTCCCTCATCATCAGCCTTACCTGAGTCCTAGTCCACCTCTCTATCAGCCTTACCTGAGTCCTCCTCATCCCTCTCCACCAGCCTTGACTATGATTCCTCCACCTCCTTCCTCTCCACCAGCCTTGCCTATGAGTCCTCTTCCACCTCTCTCTTCAACAGCCTTACCTCTAAGTCCTTCTCCTCCCCCCTCTCCAACAGCCTAACGTCTGAATCCCCCCCCATCTCCACCAGCCTTGCCTCTGAGTCCTCCTCTTCCTCCGTCTCCACCAGTATTACTTGTGTCCTCTTCCTCCTTCCTCTCCATCAACCTTACTTATTGAGTCTTCCTCCTCTCTCTCAACCAAAATTATCTCAATCCTCCTCATCCTCCCTCTCCATCAGACTTTCCTGAAACCTCCTCCTCTTCCCTCTCCACCACATTTACCCAAGTCCTCCTGCTCCTACCTCTCTACCAGCTTTTCCCCTGAGGACTCCTTCTCCTCACTGCCCACCAGCCTTCTTCTGATACATCCTCCTCCCTCTCCACCAACATTACCTCAAACCTCCTCATCCTCTCTCTCCATTAGACTTTCCTGAGTCCTCCTCCCTCTCCACCAGCTTTCCCTGAGTTCTCCTCCTCACTCTCTACCAGCCTTGAGTCCTCCTCCTACCTGAGCCAACATTACTTCAGCTCTCCGCCTCCTCCCGCTCCACCAGCCTTAACTGAGTCCTCTTCCACCCTCTCCACCAGCCTTACCTCTGAGTCCTCCTCCTCCTCCCTACCAGTCTTGAGTCCTCCTCCCGCACCTCCTCCAGCCTTACCTCTGAATCTTCCTCCTCCCACTCCACCAGCCTTACCACTGAGACCTACTCTTCCTTCTCTACCAGTCTCACCTCTGATACCTCCTCATTCTTCCTCTCTACCAACCTTCCTCCTCCCTCTCCACTAGCCTTACCTCTGAGCCCTCCTCCCTTCTCTCCACCAACCTTACTTCTGAGTCTCCCTCCTCCCTCTCCACCACCCTTACCTCGAACTGCTCCTCCCCCCTCTGGAGCAGTGTTACTTCTGGGTCCTCCTCCTCCCTCTCTACCTGCCTTACCTCGTGTCCTCCTCCTCCTTCTCCATCAACCTTGCCTCTGAGTCCTCCTCCTCCCTGTCCACCAGCCTTACTTCTGACCCTCACCTTGGATTGCTCCTCCCCCCTCTGGAGCATCCTTACTTCTGGGTCCCCCTCCTCCCTCTCCATCTGCTTTGCCTGTGAGTCCTCCTCATTCTCCACCAGACTTGCTTGAGTCCTCTTCCTCCTATCCACCAGCCTTACCTCCGTGTCCTCTTCCTCTCCCTTCAACAGCTTTACACGAGTCGTCCTCCTCCCTCTCCACCAGCCTTGCCTGAGGCTTCCTCCTCCCTCTCCACCTGCCTTACCTTGAGTCTTCCTCCGCCTTCTACAACCTTGCCTCTGAGTCCTCCTTCATCTCCCTCTCCACCAGCCTTGCCTCTGGGTCCCCCTACTCTCCCCTCTTCACCAGACTTACCTCAGAGGCCTCCTCCTTGTTCTCCACCAAAATTACCTCAGTCCTCCTCCTCCCTTCTCCACCTGCCTTACCACTAAGTCCCCCTCCTCCCTCTCTGCCAACATTACCTCAGTCCGACTCCTCCTCCCTCTCCATGAGCTTTTATCTGAGTCCTCCTCCTCCCTCCCACCAGCCTTGCCTGTGATTCCTCCTCTTCCTCCCACTCCACCAGCCATGCCACTGTGTCCTCCTCCTCCTCCCTCTCCATCAGCCTTGCCTGAGTCCTCTGCCTCCTCCCTCTTCTGCAGACTTACCTCTGAGTCCTCTTCCTCCCTCTCCCCCAGCCCTAAATCTGAGACCTCCTCCTCCCTCTCCATGATCCTTACCTGAGTCCTCCTCCTCTGTCTCCACCAGGCTTGCCTGAGTCTTCCTCCTCCTCTATCTCCACCAGTATTCCTTGAGTCCTCCTCCCTCCTCTCTATCAACCTAACCTCCGAGTCCTCATCTCTCTCCACCAACATTACCACAGTCCTCCTCATACTCCCTCTCCATCAGACCTTCTTCTGAGTCCTCCTCCTCTTCCCTCTCCACTACAATACCTCTGAGTCTTCCTCTTCCTCACTGCCCACCAGCCTTACTCTGAGACATCCTCCTCCGTCTCCGCCAACATTACCTCGGTCCTCCTCCTCTTCCCTCTCCACTACAATACCTCTGAGTCTTCCTCTTCCTCACTGCCCACCAGCCTTACTCTGAGACATCCTCCTCCGTCTCCGCCAACATTACCTCGGTCCTCCTCCTCTTCCCTCTCCACCAGCTTTACATCTGAGTCCTCCTCCTCCTCTCTCCCCAATATCTTTACTCTGAGTCCTTCTCCTCCCTTTCTACCAGCCCTAGCTCTGAGTCCTCCTCTTCTGCCCTTTCCACCAGTCTTACCTCTGGGTCCTCCTCCTATCCACCAGTCTTCCTGGAGTCTGCCTCCTCCTCCATCTCCTCCAGCCTTATGTCTGAATCTGCCTTCTCCCTCTCCACCAGCCTTGTCTGAGTCCTCCTCCTCCCTCCCCACCAGCCTTACCTAAGTCCTCCTGCTCCCTCTCCAGCAGCCTTACCTCGGAGTCCTCCTTCTTCTCCCTCTCCACCAGCGGGCTCCGGTAGGGTCTCAAGGTTTCAGCCCACCACTTGGCGTCGATTCGGCACTTGCGGGTTGTGGTCATCCAGGCTGGGTCGTACCTCTGGGTGACATCCCGGATCCAGCCGTCACCGTCAATGCCAACCACGTAGGTCACAGGCTTGCTGGCGTACTTGTAACAGGCCACAGCCTGGCCCACCACACCGTGCACACAGTCCACACACACCCACTTCTCCTCCTGCTCGCAGAACACTTCCAGCCACTGGTCGATTCCAGCTGCTTTCCCTCTTTGTGCCCCTTCACCATCACTGGAGAGTTCCTTGCCTCGGTTGATCTTCCTGCTCGAAGAGCTCGTGGACGCTGCCGGAAGGCCAGAGCACTTAGGGTGCCTTCCACGTTGGGGCCTGGAGTCACTCTTGGACCCTGCCTTTGTCCTCTGGGGGCCCGGGGCCCTCCGGTGCTTGGGACGGCCAGGCTCAGAATCCTCATCGGATGAATGACAGGCTTCCCCACTGGAGAGCTCGAAGTCAGAGCCACTGCCATCCTTCTCACTCCCACTCTCCTCTTTATAGGACACCCTGGAGGCCGCCTGCCGCTCCGGGCCCTGCCGACGTGCCCGGGGGCCTCCCTCCTGCCCCCTTGCCTTGTGCTCTTCTTCCTCCCCAGAAGAGGGCCCGCTCCGTTTCTTCCCAGCCGCAGCCGCCTTCCTCCCCTTCCCTCTGGCGCCAGTGCCCGCAGAAGACGTACTCTCTTGTCTGGTCCCCTTGCTGCTCTCAGGTTTGGCTTGGTTTTCTAGAACTGGGCTTGAAGTTTCCAAGGAGCCTCCAGGACCCTCTGTAGACCTCTCCTTGGCAGCTTTCTTTCCCTTAAACAGAAGAGGAAATTTCATTTTTTCTTTTTTTCTAATTATAGGAGATCCTATAATCTTCTAGGCCTAAGTCACTGGCTTATAGGATAAGCATACACAGGATGTCCCCAGCTCGGACAGTGACAGAGTGACTATCCTTTAGGACCATAAGTCTGCGTTCACTAACCTCCATGGCAACTCAGATGGGCCACAGTGCAGCTCTTTCCACTCTAGAGCGTGGCCTGGGGAACCTGGGCTCCAATTCCAGCTCTGCTTCTTATATCTTACACGGTGCCGGCAAATTATGTAGACATTGATTTACATGTTTTCAAATGTTATGTAGACATCGATTTACATGTTTTCAAATGGTTTTTTTACATATAGACCTATTATATGTAAATACCTATGAATGTCTCCGTATGTACCCATGAACATATCATTAAGTATGTGTGACCCTCTAAATCTCAGTGTCCTTGGCAGTAACACCCATCTTGCATACAATGTATCTATTTTGGGCACATACTGTGCCTGCAAACAAATACTGACAGACTTAATAAAGTTGCTGCATTAAGAATACAGAATTTCAAGGGCACCTGGGGGGCTCAGTCGACTGAGCAGCTGACTTTGGCTCAGGTCATGATCTCATGGTTTTTGAGTTCAAGGCCCGCATCTGAGCTGTCAGCACACAGCCCACTTTGGATCCTCCATCCCCCCCCACCTCCACTTCTCTGCTCCTCTCCTGCTCATTCTCCCTGTCTCTCTCTCAAAATAAATAAACTAAAAAAAAAAAAAAAAGAATCTGGACCACTAAGTTTCAGACAGGGCCAAGAGCGCAGTAAGTATAGCGCTGAGCCTCCTCTTTAAATCACGGCAGAATGAGGAGACCTTCACCTGCCATCACTCCACACCGACAAGGAGCCAAGGGCTCTCTCAGGCCCTTCTACACATCCAGCTCCACCAGGCTCAGGCTGCTGGAGGCCCGCTGCTGTCCCGTCCTCCCCACACAGGGCATGTGCAAGGCAGGCTCCAAGAGGCCCAGGCCCCATGAAAACCAACCCTTCAAACTAGTCCAATGAGCAATTATCTTGCGAAGTCTGAGAATTTCTCCCTCCCCATAGATACAGCTACCCTCTGGGAGAACCCCACCTTTGCTGCAGGTAACTTAAGGGGAATCGGCTGCAGAGACAATACCAGTCTGGTGGAGAGATGCAGGGCCCGGAGAATCAGTAAAAATATCTACAACAAAAAAGAATGACACATTTATTCTAAGAAAAAAAACGAGGATGTAACTAATTCCATGTTGTTTCTCATGGCTAGCTCTTTTTAACAGGGAAAAGTTAGAAACAAGCAATCAAGAGAGTCTGGAAAACTTACCACTATTAAAAACAACACTGGAGAGATTTATCTTTGTAGAAAAATCGTTTTTTATGTGTAATGTTAATTTTTGTAAAAAAAAAAAAAAAAAAGAAAGAAAGAAAGACAAGTTACTATAAATACATATGTGTGTCTGGAAAAGAACCCATTTTGGGGCTTGGGTGTTCACAGGTGATTAGTTTCCAGTGTACCTGTCTTCTGATTGTTCTGGATTCAATATATGTCGTGCTTGTGATTAAAAGAAAATAACTAAATGACATATCACTTTGAAAAGAAAAAACAGGAAACATTATTATCCCCAGATCCCCAAAGTCTATTCCAATTTCCATTCTCTGCACAAGGGGTCTTTCAACTGGAGGCTGCAGCTGTAAGAATTCTGTCACCCTGTAAGGACGGAGCCTCCAAAACAGCGACCATGACAAAGCTCCTGAGCAAGACCTTCCCATGCAGGCCTTGGGGGCCTGTTTCTCCTGAGTTACTGGAATGCCCAGCCAAGACAGCCAGAAACAGGAGGACGAGTTTTCCGTGAAAACCCGTGTTATGTCAGAAAAAAAAATAATTACTTTCGCCTGTTTCTTCTGAAGTTAAAAGCATAGGGGATGAGAAAACATCAAAGAAACCCAAATTGAGGGACACTCCACAAAATTCCTAAACAGTAGTCTTCAAAAATGTCAAGATAGCAAGGACCAGGGAAGACTGAGAAACTGTCAGACGGTAGGGAGACAAGGAATCTGTACAGATACACGGAATTAGAATTAACCCGTCCATCCTCGGGCAACTGAGTTTTGATGAGAGTGAGTGCCAAGGCCACGCAATCCCCACAGAAAACCTGGTCTCTTGGGCCAAGAGTGAAGATAATATAGCAAACAGTTGGGAGAACGGTCTCCTCAACCAAGGGGCTGGGACGGCTGGGTCTCCACATGCAGAAGAATGAAGGTGAACTCACTTATAAACAGTAACCTGAGATGGATGAAAGACCCATGTGTGAGAGGTCAGCAAGTATAAAACTCTTAGAAGAAGATAGAGAAAGAAACCTTCATGAGGTTGGATCTGGCAATGGATTCTTAGGTATGACACCAAAAGTATGAGGTACAAAGGAAAAATAGAAAAATTGCACTTCGACAAAATGAAAACTTTAGTTTCTTTATCAAGAAAGGGAAGAGACAACCAACAGGAGAAAATATTTGCATATATGTGATAGGTGCCTAGAATGTAGAATACATAAAGAACTCTCACAACAGAACAATGAAAAGACAAAGAACCCAATTAAAAAACAGGCATAGGATTTATACAGGTATTTCTCTGAAGAAGAAACACAAATGGCCAATAGGCACATGGAGACACTAACCACGAGTCACCAGGGAAATATAAATCAAAACTACAATGAGATACCACTTCACATCTTTTAGGAGGAGTATAATAAAAAAAATTTTTTTTTTTTTTTTAAGGAAAGTAACAAGTGCTGGCAAAGATGTGGAAAAAGTGGAGTCCTTGCCCCCTGCTGGTGATAAGGTGCAACGGCACAGCCACTGTGGAAAAGTCTCACAGTTCCTCAAAAAGTTAAACACTGAATGACCCAGCGACTCCACTCCTCGGTACGTACTCAAAAAAAGTGAAAACCAGAATTCAAATAAGTACACACGCACACACACATTTGTGGCAGTGCTCTTTACAACAACCAAGCAATGGGGCAAAACTAAATGCCCACAGACATGTGGTCGATCCAGTCACAGAAGGTCACAGGTTGTATTTCTTCCACATGAAACATCCAGGACACGTAAATCTAGAGACAGAACCCAGACCAGTGGCTGCCAGGTGCCTGAGGCAGAGGGAGGAGGAAGCTGACTGCAGGTAACTGTTTCACAGTATCATTTTGGGAGGGTAAAATATTTTGGAAATACACATAGGAACAAAATCAGGGAGGATGGTACCCAAATATTAATGTGTGTCCCTGGGAGGTGGCAGGATTACCGGCTGTGTCAGATATCTGAGAGTTTTTCAAGCCAAATTGAAGACAGGTAAAGATGCCTATCATACGGGCTCTTAAGGTCCAAGAAGTCTGGTCTCTTGGCCTAAACAAACAGAAAAGCTGGAGCTTAGATACAAGCATATGTGATTCATAGGAACTTGTCAGGGAGAAAACTGTATTTCTACTTCTATTTTTCAGGCACAAAAATATCTTTGGTGGATAGAACTTGCCTCGCTGCACAGCTGCCGGCCAATGTCACTGCTCAAGTTGGAAGGCCGGGAAACGCTTTCTGAAGGTTTTCAGCAGCCAATGTTTGAAAAACCATTTCCTTGGGGTGTCTGAACGTAAGTTCTGAATATTTTAATGGAAACAGTTTGAGGGCAACGTGACCAAACCTGAAGCGCTCTGCACACCAAACAGTAGGCTGTGTCCCAATCTGGACTCCAGCGCTTACCAACAACATAGCCCTGAGAGAGTTATTTGGCCTCTCTGAGCTTCAGAACATTTTTTTTTTTTTTACCTTACGAAGACTGAATAGGAACATGGAAAACACTGAAACGGTATCTGGCAAGTGACGGCCACAGTCATTTGCTAACAGTTCAAAAAACAGTGCCGCCAGGAGGATCACTTACATGGACCAACTCTTCATCATCGCGTGCAGAGTAAATAGCAAATCTCCTTTCCAGCATGGTCTGTAGGCAATCTTGCTCGTTGGTTGAAAGGTCTGCATTAACTGTAAATGTTCCAATGAACCTGGAGAGAAACCAGGCATTCCCGTGTCACAGGTCATGGCAAAGAGGAATGCTCGTGCCCCTTTTATAGCCAAGAGAATCAGAAGAGACGGTCTTAGAAGAGAACTGTGAGCTTTGCCTGCCTATACCCTGCTTTTCCCAGTCTGAGCGGCTTGACCACTGCTCACCACTGAAGACCTTGTCCCCACATCCCTGGTTCCCTTCCTAGACCCCAGTTGCTCTGTGCACCCAGAGACCCCAGCGCACCCCCTCCCGAGCAGTCCTCACGCTACCCAGATTGACTGGGTGCACCTGTCTCCCCAAGCAGCCTGGGAGCTCCTCTAGGGCAGAGATCATGCCCAACATTTCTTTATCTTCAGTGCGGTGCCTAAGGCCCCGGCATACAGGGTTCCCTCAGGGAAGGTGTGTGGAACTGACCAACCCCTGGGCTCAGGGACAGAAGTCCTATACGAGGGCTCTGCAGGGTAGGCTGGAGGGCCATACCATTTCACCAGGTTTGACAGGTAGCAGATGTCCACGTCCTGAGGTGGCACTTTAGTAAAGCGAGCTGGGACGATGGACAGGCCGATAGCAAGCAGATCTGGCTGGCTGCAGACGTTACTACGATACAAACCGTTTGCCAGCAGGCACAGCAGGTGAACCTGGGAAGATGAGGAAGACGGGTGGCTGAGAACTGGAGGGGTGTTTGCTGCCAAACCAAGAGGCATTTTGTGGGCAGGGGTTATCTGTTGTTCTATCTACATACGAGAAAGTGGCCCAGGAGAGGGCAGCAGTAGACGGGAGTGTGAGGAAGCAGGTCACTTTTGCACTCAGTTCATCTCTCCTTTTCCCTGAGGCTTTTCCTGAGACTATCTCTGAGCTTCCTGCTTCCTGACTGCCTCTCCCCGACTAGCTGAATTCTTTCTCCAGTGAAATCCACATACAGAAAGACCAGGATACTGTCAGTTAAAGCTCTGGGAGCTTAGCCTTTCCCTCTCTGTTGAGTCGACTGCAGTCAAACCCACAGTGCATGGACATTTTCGTTACATTTACTCTAAGGAGAGATTTTTCTGTTTCTGTGGCCTTGAGAGAGAGAGGCTCCCTGTCAGCCATTTCCCAAGACTTTGTCACCCTGTCCTCTTCCCTAGATACTTATTCCCTCACAGAAATAATCCAATCTCAAAGTTGCATACCACAAATATTTTTTCCTTCTTTTAGAGGCCTTGTCTTCTAGATAGATACTGTAGGATTGATGGATGACGTTCTACAATGTCTGGGGTTTGCTCCAGAAAGATCGGGAGGACAAGTGTTGGGGAAGAGAAGGTAGAGATGCGCAAGCGCCTGTAGCCGTCCAAGCCGGGGTTGGCGCGGGTTCATCACACTGCCAGGCCCCCACCCCTGCTCTAGAAGGGAAGAACCCAGCCCCTCGCACCGCAGACCCCACGTCTGCCCCCTCACCTGAGCTCCAACTGCTCCTCCACCTAATGAGATAATCAGACTCCTCCCCATCCCTCCCACAGCTTTACATCATTCCCCCTTCAAAACTGTCTTCCTTCTCCTCACCTATAATCTCCCCATTTCAGTCAACGGCTCCACCCTCCTCTCCTCACTGAAGCTTTCAATCTGGGAGCCAGATGAACTCTTCCCTTTCTTTCATCTCCACCAAAAGGTACAAGCAGCATGGCTATCTCACATACCCCCCCAAGGCTCCGGAGAGGTGGGTGTGTCTTATCTCCTCACTGTCCTTGCTCTGCACTCGTCTCACCTCCATATTTCTGCGGCTGCTGCAGACACAGGGTCTCTGCTACCTCTTACATCTCTCCCTGCTCTGGCTCTCGGCTGACGATCAGAGGGATGTCAAAGTGCCCTTCCCTCACTCTCCAGGGGCCTCCGACGCACATACCCTCCAAGATGCAGACACATCGGTCATCCAGCCACACCCTCTCAGCTCTGCCTGGGCAGTCTCCCCAGCCTCTGTCCTCGGCCCACTCCTCCCTGCCGCCCTTTCTCTTAAATAAAGCCCTCCTCCGCTGCTCAACCTACAGCAATCCCTTTCCTTATTCCCAGGCTTGACTAAGAACCGATGTTCCGTGCACCACACCGACCTGCCTTGACAGAGAGGACACTGTCCCTTCACCCCCTGCCCTTACCTTGTGTGTGTCCTCGTGGACTTCTTTACTGAAACGGTTCATCATCCTCCGAAGATACGTCTCAAACTCCATTTTTATCCTTTCACTGCCATGCATATCGAAAAATCCAAGAGTGAAGTAGGAGATGGATGATACCTGGCCCCAGCACCCGGTCACTTCCGTTCCCTCGTAATGGCTCATGAGTAGCTCTCCTTGGTTTCCTGCACACGGCTGTGCAGGCAAATCTGAAAGCTGGCTATTCTCCATAGACTTTTCTGGTCCTTCTCACCTGAAGGCCCAGGACTTTCTCTACCAACACGCCTCATGGACAGGCTTTGAAGCACACATTCTCCAAGCGGCCCTCTCTGCCTGTCTGACCTCCTGACTACAGATTCCCTCCTTAGCACAAGCACCTTTGTGTTACACTGGTGCACTCCTTTGTTGGTGCGGTTCTGCTGTAAAATCTCTCTCCTGCCCATGTCCCCTGCATCTGTAAGCCAACTTAACACTTCTTGAATGACTCCTATCATCTCCTTTCTTCGTGCCTAACGATATGCCCATTACAGAGCGGGACTCATTAGCCATTAACTACCAGGTATTGTGTTACACATTCCCAAGCCACCAGGGGATACAGTGGTCCAGGAACCTTGAGACGGAACGGGGGCTCCCTACCATAGTGGGGCACTGCCTCAAGTCGTGCAGTGTGATGTGGTGCGAAAAACATGAGTGTCAAATTAGATGGAGAGTGTCAAGATTGGATCTTGGCTCATCCACTTCCTGCCTGAGTGACTTCTAAAATGTGACTCAATTACTCTGGGCCTGCAGGTCCTCATTCACACATTAACTTAAGTTTAAGTTAATGTACAACCCACAGAGTCCTTGGCACATAACAGATGTTTGGTAACTGAGAGTTTCCTCTCTCCATGCCCTGCCCCAGCCAGAGAACAAAGTTTCCTGTTCGAGTCCTCATGGTGAACCCAGGGCTCTCCCACCTCAGGCTCCCGACCACTTTGGTGCTCAGCCCTGGTCTCCTACATGTTTCTCAAAAGCTTTCATTGTATAGCAGCTCTTGCTGTGCTCAGCCCTGGTCTCCTACATGTTTCTCAAAAGCTTTCATTGTATAGCAGCTCTTGCTGATGATACATGACAGGAGTCTAGAAGCAAATGCCCAACCTTACCTTCTTTCTCTTGCTTTTGCCTGCTGGGGTGTTTCAATCTCTATCTCCACTGGCTTCACAGGCAGGACAGATTTAGAGAAGGCTGTGTTTTCTCCTGCATCACCCGGCACAGGCTCACTAAGTTCTATCAATGATAATTTTCAAAAATCAGTGACATTATAATAGCTATCACACTGAACAAAACTGAGTTCTGCTGAGATGGAAGGAGTAAGCAACAGGACTCCCCTACTCCTACCACGTTTTGAGTGCCTCAAAAACACCACAGACTGTGCTGTTTTACATTTATTGCTCATGGAACTTCATGGAACAGCAACCCAGAGACATAGGAAACTAAGGCACAGAAATACTGAGTTGAATTAAATACAGATCTCTGGGATCAGAGCTGAGGCTCAAATGTGTACTTTAGCAGAGACTTAGTCTTTATCCAAGGAAAAAATAAAGCCAAAAAGAACAGTTTCCTCTTCTCTATTTTACTACAATAAACATATATCACAATTTTGCTTTGTATAGAGGCCTGATTGAAGGGTCTTCCAGCCCCAATTGCAAACCTGTAATGACAAGGAATCTTTTTTTACCTCTTCTTTTTTTACCTCGTTTTTTTTAACCCCTCCCCCCTTTTTTTAACCTCTTTATCCCCTACATCACTTGTAAACACTGGCTGAAATAAACAAAATTCAATGAACTGGACCTGTGAATTTTATTAGCAAAGGCCCTTCTAAAGGGACTCTGGGTCCAGAGGCAGTGACATCCCGCTGGTAATGAACACACCTAATGCCAAGATCTGGTTTATATATACAGGTCCTGACTGAAATGAGCCAGGCCTTCCTGCAGAAACAAAAGTCTGGAGGTCTAGAGCAAGAAACATAGAGGGTGGGCCTGGAACATCTTCTCATGACGGAAACCAAAAATGTTCCCAAAAACCAATGAGGCCATGTCAAAAGGACATGGAAGGGTAGCTGGCTTAAAGGGGCTCCCATGAGCCAAATCTGGGACAATCTGAAGATTGAAAAGTATAACAATAATAACTGATAACATATTTGAACTTTTAAAATATCTGAGTCCCTACTGATACTCAACATAAATACAATTCTTAAAAGAGAAAGCTCTCCTTTACAGATCAAAGTCACCTGATGAATGTATATAAAATGATAGAATCAGAATATTCTGTTTTGCAATGCTCAATGTAATAATCTTTGACTCTGGAAAGATCAATGCATACAAAACCATTAAGTAGGGGCGCCTGGGGAACTCAGTGAGCTAAGTGTTTGACTTCAGATCACAATCTCACTGTTTGTGAGTTTGAGCCCCGCATCACGCTCTCTGTTTGTGAGTTTGAGCCCCGCATCACGCTCTCTGTTGACAATGCAGAGTCTGCTTCGGATCCTCTGTCTCCCTCCGCCTCCCTCCCTCCCTCTCTCACACACACAAAAAGAAATATTAAAAAAAACTCTTTAGTACCACCCAAGACAGTTAACTACAAAGGAAAAATGTACCTTTTCATTGTTACAATCTGGCAGAACCACCTTAGATAATCAAACTTAGCATCTCTAGTAGGACAACCTGATACTAGGTGCCTCTTAGTGGATGCAGTATTTTTTTTTAATTTTTAAAAAATGTTTTATTTATTTCTGAGAGAGAGAGAAAGAGAGACCGTGTGAGCAGGGGAGGGTCAGAGAGAGAGACAGACACAGAATCTGAAACAGGCTCCAGGCTCTGAGCTAGCTGTTAGCACAAAGCCCAACGCGGGGCTCAAACCCACGAACCGTGATATCATGACCTGAGCCAAAGCTGGACGCTTAACCAACTGAGCCACCCAGGTGCCCCTTAATGGATGCAGTATTAAGTACAAAGCTCTGAAGTATTTTGCCAAGAAAATGAAAGTTTAACTTGAATTCAAGTAAACCTTACCTTGCAGTTTACAAGAAATCAGGAGACACTGAAACACATTACCACCACCCTGAAATGTCTGTTTATCAAACAAAACAAAAGAAGAGGCCAGGACTCTTCAAAAACAGCAGTGCTACAAAAAGTAAAAAAAGGGGCTGGGCAGGGTGTACCATTCTAGACTAAAGGAGACTAAAGCGGTATAACCAAATACATGGTTCACACCTTAGATCCTGGATTAGCAACAAACACAAAATAGCTAGGAAGGATATTTTTATAACATTGGGGGACTTTTCATCTTCTTAGGTGTAAAAACATTTTATCATGTAGGAAAATGTCTTACTCTTGAAATACATGAAGTATTTACAAGCAAAGTGTCTGCAACTTACTTTCTTTTTAAATGTTTATTTATTGGGGCGCCTGGGTGGCTTAGTCGGTTAAGTGTCCGACTTTCACTTAGGTCATGATCTCGCGGTTCGTGGGTTCGGGCCCCGCGTCGGGCTCTGTGCTGACTGCCAGCTCAGAGCCTGGAGCCTGTTTCAGTCTGTGACTCCCTCTCTCTCTGACCCTCCCCTGCTCACGCTGTCTCTCTCTCTCCTAGAAATTAAAAAAAATAAATAAAAATAAAAAAATAAATGTTTATTTATTTTGAGAGAGAGAGCAGTGCATGTGTGCAAGTGGGGGGGGGGGCAGAGGGAGAGAGAGAATCCCAAGCAGGCTCTGTACTGTCAGCTCAGAGACCCACCCAGGCACCCTTGCAAATTACTTTCAAATGGTTCTACAATGTATATTTACAGAGAGAAAGACACGCTCAATATGACAAATGTTACAGTTAGTGAGCTCATTATGACAAATGCTACAGTTAGTGAATTTAGGTGGCATCTATGTACTACATTAACAAAAATTAAAAAAAACTTTTTTGTAGTTTTCAAAAATCATTTTCAAAATCAAAAGCTGGGACAGAATCAAGCAGACAGAAGGAATCAGGGATGGTAACATTAGCTGCCACTTACTGTGAATATATGATGCTCTACACACACTGTATTTGCCAACCTTTCCTCCACCAATACCATTCTGGAGCCTAGCTTGTGCACAGCTCACAGTGAGCATTCAATGCTTGCTGAATATTATCAGGGAAAAAAACTCAGCTCTGACAGGTGGATTTACTCACTCACTCCGTTATAGGTGACAAACCTGGGCTCTGAACCCAGATCTCACTACTCTCAAAACCTGTGCACTTTCGACAAGATGACATTGCCTCTCTGTCTCACAATCTACTCCTGACAGCCACCAGAGGAAGACCATACCCTTTTGGTGACCTGGTCATGAATTTTTCCTTGCATCAAAAGCAAGTCCCTACTGTAACCTTCTCAGGTCTTACTTAGCTTCAAAAGGAAACAACGGGATTGCAACTATGTGACATGCCTCCAACAGGAAAACATGATCACACAGCTCTGATGTTTTTACCTTCTACCTCTTCCCAATCATCTTCACTTTCTTCTTCATCGCTTCCTTCACAGCCACCTTTGTCCACAGCAGCCTCTCTCCTTGGATGGGGTGCCTTCTTGGGGGCGCTTGCAAAGTCCCTGTGTAAAGATCACAGGAGGGAAGGTGAAGAAGTCTCCCATATCCTAGCGCTACATTTAAGCTGAACGGCATTGTAAGGACTCCTTCTATTTACTGAATTAATTTACTGTTCCAATTATTGAAAGATGACATGTGAGCTGAACCTTGTATCCTCCATCAGTGTGAGCCTCAAGGGCTTCTCAAGATGTGCTCTGATCATCAGTCTAACGCTAGATGTGCTGCCAGACAGAAAGAACACAAGGACCCTACAACCTAGAGCTGTGTGAGGGGAAACACAGCTGTGCCTGCAGGTTGCTGGTACAGGGACAGTCAGAAGGAACCCCAACAAGAACGGGAGTCCTGAAAGTAAGAGCCGTGCTATCATACATGTGCAGGTGGACACCACGATGAAGGAGAGGGAATTTCCATTTGCTGATCCTACCATGAGCCACCTCAGATGATTATTTCTCCCCACTTTAAGAATTATGATGTAAGGGGACAGAAACTGGTAGAATTCTAACTTCAGAGTATGCAGGGATGTGACTATATGCGGGTATGTCATAAATAACAACAAAAGCACAGACAGCTGGCTAGTTGAGTAGTAAGTACATAGGTAAGTAGCTAGCTGACTACTGGCCCAGGATGAAATGGTTAATACGTACATAACCTACATTTTGCAATTTCACATATAAAATATGTTTAGAACTGAGTTGCTTTTTAGCTTTCTTGTAATGTTCAACAGTGGTAGCAAGTGAGAACATCATCTCAGATTTTAGCGCAGACACTTAAAGTAACCAATCCTGAGTCTTCAGCTCTAAAAATACACATTTTGCCTTTTTAGCCTGCCTCTCTCTCTCAAGGCCACAGAAACAGAAAAATCTCTCCTTAGAGTAAATGTAACGAAAATGTCCATGCACTGTGGGTTTGACTGCAGTCGACTCAACAGAGAGGGAAAGGCTAAGCTCCCAGAACTTTAACTGACAGTATCCTGGTCTTTCTGTATGTGGATTTCACTGGAGAAAGAATTCAGCTAGTCGGGGAGAGGCAGCCAGGAAGCAGGAAGCTCAGAGATAGTCTCAGGAAAAGCCTCAGGGAAAAGGAGAGATGAACTGAGTGCAAAAGTGACCTGCTTCCTCACACTCCCGTCTACTGCTGCCCTCTCCTGGGCCACTTTCCTCTGTCAGGACTGGAGGTTGCTGGAAAAGCCAACACCAAGATTGAAGATTTGTTCTTAAAGGGACCACTGCCTCTGTCTTTCCTCTTCCTCTCTTCCCCACAACTTTCCTGGGAGGTAGATGATCAAGTGTTCACTGGGCTTATAACCCCTGTTCACCACGTATCATTAAGAATGTTCATTCACTGCCAAAATCTTGCTCCGTTTCTGCCAAACAAAAGGTCCTTCTCCAGATGCCACAGGGCACACGAAAACGAACCAGGAGTGGTCTAGAACCTCTAGAACCTCTAGAAGCCTCGGAGAGCTTATAGGGGAGCAAGCCACAGTACGTGGCATGCGCACAAATAAGCGCAACACGAGGTAGACAAGCTACACTCTTAAGGGACACTGCAAGAAATCGCAGGAAAAGGGGGAAGAATCAACAAAGACTGTCAAGTGAATGGATTCTGATCCACACCTTCAAGGTGGAAGAAAACATTCCAGGTACAAGGAAGAATGAGCACAACTCAGGTGGGAAAGCAGGAGTGACAAGAAGTCCAGTTGGGTGGGAGGAGAGTGTGTTCGAGAACAGCACGAGAGAGCGCTAGAAGTGCAGCCAGCATTTCGGGCATCTAGTACCATGATGCAGTACAAAGAGCACTGGACCGCGAGTCAGAAGACCTGAGTCTCATCTGGTTTTTGCCACCATCTATCTAGCTGTGGGACCACAGATAAATGACTTTCTGCAAGTTGTCCTTGTCATCTGAAAGGTTTGAGAGGTAAACGATATACCCTTGAATAACACAGGGGGTGGTGCATAGTTGAAAATCTGCACAGAACTTCTGACTCCCCAAAACTACGACTCAGCTTCTGTTGACTCACCCATAATATAAACAGTCAATTAACACATATTTTGTATGTTACACGTCTCATATGCTGTAGTCTTACAATGAAGTCAGCTAGAGAAAAGAAAATGTTATTTGAAAAAAATCCACATCTAAGTGGACCTCTGCATTTCAAGCCTGGCTGTTCAACGGCCAATTGTAATTGCTAAGAAGAATCATACTAGCGGTCTGGGCTCTAGCTGGAAGAGTTTGAAGATCCCATCTTGTGCCCAGATCCTAGTGACAAGCAAGAAGGAGAGGTTTTATTACTCACACTTCCCTGATGGAAGCAATCAAGCCCTGGCTGGAAGCTTTTCAGCCATCTCACCTGAGATCCTCCCCATCACTGAGGGCTTCATCCTTCACCTCGGCAGTTTCTGATTTAACAGTCACCTTGGCCGCTTTCTTTCTGGCTGGACTGTGTGTGGGGCTCCCGGGATCACCGCAGCCTCTCTTCCTCGTTTCTCGTGAAACTTTTGAGAGAAGGCTCCTCTTTAGAGGTTTCTCATCTTCCGAGACATCTAGACAACCACATGGAACATGAGGTAAGGGGCACAGGAAAGGTGGAGGTGGTGTGCCTTCACAGGCAGGTGATGAAAAGCCCCTTTCTGTCACCTCCCTCTAGGGCACATCTCCATCACCGGTCACGGCCCTGTGTGTTCAACAACCAGTCTGCGGCCTCCTGTCTCCACCCCGCCTTACACCCGCACTCACAGTAAAAACCCACTTTCATCAGCATCTTATTTGACTCCTCCTGGGACTACAGAGCCTGCAGTGACTCAAAAATCTGGCTTCCAAATCTCAAACTGCAGCTAATATCCAGGAAGGAAAACACATAAATCTGCTATGAGCACCCTGCTTATTTACTAGCTGCCAAGACTAGTTATTTATTTTAAGGGTAACCCACTTCTATTAAGTGAAATGTGTGGAGTTCATTAACATGTCCAAGTTTTACCACAACACTACTGCTACTGATCCATGTTTTTGCCGCCTTTCAAAACCAAACCCTGCTCGATACATACTTACGAAACCGTTCCAATCTAACCCAAAGGCACTCATGTATCAACTGTCTTGGCAAACTTAGGGTTGGAATAAGGCAGTAGTAATTCAAAAATACCTTTATTTCCTTAAAATAATTAGTGTTGGCTTTTGTTAAAGGGAAATTTAAAAAATGCACAAGCTGTTGGCTTTAGTTAAATCAGGGTATCTAAAAGTATGGCCTGTTTCTTAACATGTTTCAATAAATCAACATTTAATAAGTAATAATATGAGAGGGGAAGATAACTTCTATTTTGCAAATATGTTCATAAAAATAAACAATCCTGAATCTGAAATAAAGCATCTTCCTTTGCCTTTGCATGGCTCTGCTTCAATTAATTTTAGAAAACAAAAATACTTTAGCCTTTACTGAGGTTGAGCAATATTAACCTAATATCAGATTGATTGTTCTCATTTATGGTTTGTCTTACTGACTCTGTGGATACAGACCTATATTCCCCAAGAATATGCTTTTGCAGGGGGAAAACTCTCCCTTTTGATCTAAATCAAATCACAATTTTCATAAATTTCTCATTACAGAGGGGCATATGTTCTAATGCTAGATAAAATCACTGACTAGTTTCTTTAGAAAGTTTTATAAAGGGAATCCATGCATTCTCGTGTTTTGAACATTTTAATGGAAACATAAAAAATTTCAAAGTTATTTAGAATCTGGAGACACTTCTTATTCCATGGCCAGAAGCTGCTCGAGGGTTTATGACTCAACAGTTTGAGTAGGGTGTCCTTGAAATCGGAATTTCTGGATCTTACAATGCTTCTTAGCCTTCTATGAGTAGATAGGAAACAGAGGTGTGAAACACTTCATTGTTACTAATCTGAAAATGCAGGTGGGAAGATACCTTAAAAGCACTGTTTCCTCGTCACCAAACGTGGTTGGTTAAAAAGCACAATTGTGTGCTCTGTGCTTTGAAGAGAGAGGTAGAGGAGTTAAAAGGGGGGCAAGAATGGAAACCAAAAAATACCTGTGAATCAAAAAAGAATGTCCATAGTTTCATCATTTCACACAGTAATCCCCCTTAGCCATCGTTCCAGTTACCCACTCAACCCACTGCTCAACTGTAGTGAGGCAGATGAGCCTTCTGACAAACCTACATCAGCTGAACCTATAGAAGCTAGCCCATCTGATTACCTGGCATGGACCGTGGCAGATGCTTCTAGCTCACTCACAATCATAACTACCCTGAAAGGTAGTATTGTGTTTCAGTGATGAGGTTCAGAGAGGTACACTACTTGTCCAAAATAATTTACACAAGTGCACAGAACTACTAAGCAGCCCGAACCTGGAGTCCAGATCCAGGTTTTAGCTGGAAGAAATGGTTCCCAAGCAGGTGGCATTTCCATCAGAGTAAGACTTTTTAACTTTGAATTGCCACATATTCAGAATACATTCCCACTAACTGGAATAACAACCCTTTTCATAGCCACTTGCTGAAACGTACCCATTCTTAAAAGTCACAGATCAAACGTGACTCCTTCAGAGAGCATGTCCCCATCTCTCCAGTCAAACTTGATTGTTCTTTCAAAAGCCACAAAGCACACTACCTTCTTCCAAGATATCACACTGTCTTGAACAATTTTCGTAAATGGCAACACTAACATACGCTAAGCTCCTCCAAGTAATGTCTGCCTCCCATGTCACCTCGCTTGTGTGCAGCACATATCGGTACTCAGAATGTTATCTGAATGAGTAAATGAATCAAATGGAACTCGCAATGTTAACTGTGAGGTAAATTACCTTCTACGTTTAGAAATGACTTCCATTTGCCTATTTACTAATGGATAATGAACTTATATAAAAAGAATCATAAAATAGAACCTAGTGTCATAGGAGCCCTTGCTGATTACCTAAACTTCTATTCAGATTATTTTAGGAACCCCAGAAATCCCTTTTACAGCATGCACTATGCAATTATTAAAAACGTTTATTGAGTACTCAGTATATGCAGGGAAGAGGGAGAGGAGAATACAGGACATAACAAAAAATAAAACACATCTGCATATACTTAAATGGTAGTAAGACACACCATCCAAAAAGGAAGCAAATAAATTAACAAGATCACTACATTATGGAACAGAGGCTGTGAGGGCCTGTGAGGACCTGGCAAAGATCCCCTTAGATCAGACACTCAAAGCAGTGTGCGTTCACATGTGAAGGTACCGAAGAAATCAGCCACCCTAGAGCCACGGAAAAACATTCCAGGCAGAAGGATCATCAAAGGCAAAGGCTCAAGGTGAGAAATAACATGGCATACTTGAGGAACAGAAAGGAAGCCAAGAAGCAGGTTATCTGGCAAAGAAATGAGTCGTAGAAGACAACAGAAGTAGCAGCAGCCAAATCATGTAAGGTCTTGCAGGCCATGGTAAGGAATTTGGATTTTAGGCCAAGAGCAATGGGAAGCTACAGGTTTGAAGTAGGAACATGGCATGATCTGATTTTTTTTAATCATTTGGGCTGCTGGGTGGAAAACCATTGCAGGGGGATAAAGGGAAGCAGGGAGACCAGTAAAGAAGCAACTGTGGTCCTTCAACTGAAAAGTAATGGTGGCTCAGGCAGGGACTGTGACCACGGAAATAAAGAGAAGTGGAGGGATCTGAGATACAACTGAGGTTGGGTTGGTGGAACTTGCTGATTAGATGGGTATGTGTAATGAAAGGGAGGGCTCTGCTTTAACAGGTGGTTGAAGGGATCATTTATTGAATGGGAAAAGGCGGGGGAAGAAAGACGCTTAAAGGGGAAAATCAAGAGTTTTGCTTTGCTCATGACGAATATAAGAAACCTATCCGATATCCAGGTGGAGAAGTCAGGCTGCATCTGAATCTGGAACTCTAGGTGAGATTTAACTGAAGATATTATTCTGGGGAGTCCGCACACTACAGCACTCTGGTCCATCCGACTTCTGGGGCCACAAAATAACTGTAATGCCTTTTCCCCTATTCAGCCGTTTGCATCTGCAGGAGGCTGGACAGTATCCTGTGGGCAACAGGGAGCAGGAAAGAGGCAACGCCGGCGAGCCAGTGGTCAGGTTGAGCTCCAGGGGAACCCCCAGAGCGCATCCGTCCTCCCGAGGACTAAAGCACAGCGATGTCGGTGAGGACCCGGGCGGCTCTACAACCGCCCGCCTCTCCCGGCCGCCGTAACGCCGGCTCTGCTCAGGGAAGACAGGATATTCTCCGCGCCCTACCTCCAGAAGTCTGCCACCCCCCGCCCCACCCCCCGCGCTCCCCGGACCTTGTTTCCTGCCCTCTTCTAGCATCTTCCCCTAAGCCCAGCCCGGTGTTGCTCTCACCCGCTTCCTTCTCCTCACGCCGGGCCGTGCTCTTGCCCTTGGCCTTCCGCCCGCACGGTTCACGTCTCTGCTGCTTCCTCGCAGCCGCACGACTACGCACCATGTTGCCCGGGCAAGACTCCTGAGGAGACTGACGTACCAAGCCGCGGGAAAGGGAGCTCAAGCTCGGCTTCCAGCGGGGCGAGGCACGGCTAGCCGTTTCCTAATTGGCCAAGTCGACGCCGATGAAGCTCCGCCCCATTCTCAAAAGACCAATGCAAACTGTACGAACCAAGAACCCAAAGCGAAATTCTCCCCACTTCCGGCTCATTTTAGTATCGCATTTCCGGAGGCAGTGGCCGGGAGGGCGGGCAGACGCGAGCGGCTCGCGTATTCTCGCGAGAGGCAGCAAAGAGCGCAGGGTTTGAAACATGGCGGACGACGTGGACCAGGTGAGTGTATTGAACTGCTCGCTCCAGAGCGGCTTTTCCACTACTATCCCTCCGCCTGCTCAGCTTTGCGTCTCAGGGCTCGAAACTTTCTCCAGGCTCACCGGAAGGTGGTCTTCTTGCCGTCCTGTTTCTAGGTAATCACGGCTTTAAATCGACCCCTTGGTAACCGCGCCCCTTCCGAATTTTGTCTCGGTCCCTGAGACAGTTTCCTCTCCGAAGCCCGCCTGAAAACTAATTATTCTTCACGCTCGTCACTTCCTTTCCCTTGTATCTCATCTTCATCTGTAGTATGGAAATAGTTATCCCTGCCTGCCTCACGGAGCTGTCAGGATTCTAATAGGAAAAGTGAAAGTAAAGTTAAATAATTATTATTACTGAGCGCGACGGTTGTTACTCGTTCAACAAGTGAGTAGTAAACATCAGATCGTGTAGTTAGACACCCCTCTAAGCACCGGGGACACCGGCATTGACAAACGTGATCCCTGTCCCCATTTGGAGCTTAGGTTCAAGCAGATAAGTAAACAAACGTGCAATATGTAAGAATTGTGATGTGGTGTGAAGAAAACAAGCAAGGAAGTGGCATGTAAAGTAATTTGATGGTCCTCTAGGCTTCCTCATCTTCTCTTCGTTTCCTGCAAATGCTCTTCCTAAGATATATTTGTGGATCAGACCACAACTTAGCTTTCTCCTGAAATCTCCCCTCCTCAGTGAGGATTTATCTGGCCACCCGCAAAAATAGCACTCTTTCCCAGTCTGCTTCATTTTTCTTCATAACATGTTGTTTGTTCATATCATTTATACCCTTCGTTGTTCAATGTCTGTCTTTTTCCCCACTAGAGTGTGAGATCCTTGAGAGCAGGGTTTTGTTCACCTTTCTGTCCTCCAGGTTCAGAACACTGCTGGAAACACTGAACAAATATTTATTGAGCGAATGAGTAGGTTAATCAGAGAGGCTTCTTTGAAAAGGCAGATTTGAAGATACAGGATGAAAAGTATGAATAGTGGGCATTCTAGACTAAAGCCAGAGGAGCGGTATGGCTCTGTGTTGTGTATATGATTGTAGAATTACTATGTATCTATTTTTATACCTCTCCCCACTAGAATGAACTCCTTGAGGGAGTTCTGACCTCTCTATTGTGATGTAGTAGGTGGTTAGCTGATCCTGGACAATCACCTGTTTTATTGGGGTTGCGGACCAGTCGAGGATAGGATTTTTTTCTTTTTTCAGTCTCCCTTTTTTAAAACCTTGGAGTCTGTAACATTCAGTCACATTCTGCCACTGGCCTGATGTGCTCACCGAGGAAAATCCTTGAATAATCTTACCAACTTTCCTGCCTTCACCCATCCCTTACGTTTGGATGACTCCAAATCATCCTAGCCCTGATCTCTCTGGGACCTATATTTCCAGCAGTTCTTTAATTGGAAATAACAGGAACCATTTATAAGTACTTTCAGTTTGCCAGGTACTGTGGGCAAGTTGAGTTTAGGGTGCCAACTGACCAGGAGGATGAATATATTGAGCAGGCAGTATAGACTGCTGGTTGAAAGCACTAGTTTTGAAGTCAAGCAGTGTGGGTTCAACTCTTGAATCTGAAACTTATAAACTCAGATAAAACAAAATCATGGCACCTCTAACTATCAGCATCCTTGTTTGTAAAACGAGGAAGCCATAATCTTCACAATACTTGTGAGGACTGGATGAGCTAATGTATTAAATTAATGTAGTAAGTGTATTCACGATGGTACCTGGCAAACTGAAAGTACTTATAAATGGTTCCTGTTATTTCCAATTAAAGAACTGCTGGAAATATAGGTCCCAGAGAGATCAGGGCTAGGATGACAGTCACACAGGATAGCAATGACTTGAACACTCTCCAGTACTAATTACTAAGCCTGTTTCTTTAATCAGCAACAAACTACCAACACAGTAGAGGAGCCCCTGGATCTCATCAGGCTCAGCCTGGATGAGCGAATTTATGTGAAAATGAGAAATGACAGAGAGCTTCGAGGCAGATTACACGTAAGTAAATTTATCAAATTACCTTGAAATCAGATTGTCTCTTTGTCATGCCTTCCTCCCACTACCCGCTTGAGGTATAAACACTGTCCAATGTAGAAGAGTATTTTGAGTGAAGATAAGAAGGTGAAGGTCACCCATATTTCTACAAGTTGAGTACAACTGCGTTTAATTCACGTATTTAATATTTTTTTAACAGAAATGATATGTTTATTAAAGAACATTTTCATTTCTTCTGTTTATTTGTGGCATTTATTCCATTATTTAAATATTCTATCAGTTACTGACATGTACATGGATTTGTGTTTTCTTGTAAGAAAAATTAAATAGCACAGAAGTACATAGAGTAAAGGTGAAATCCATTTTTTTCTTTTGCTACCCACTGAGAAGTTGAGTCTGTGGCCTTTTAGATCTTATGTATATATTTACACATATATACTTACAAATGTGATCACATGAATGTATTTGCACTATATATACCACCTCTAAATAAAAATGGGATCTTGCTATATATATTTTGGAACAGCTTTCTTTTTCACTTAATCTTTCTTGGAAATTATTGATCATGAGTGCATATAAATCTCCCTTTTGTCTTTTTTTTTTTTTTTTTTTGGAGAGAGAGAATGAGCATGAGCCAGGGGAGAGTGGCAGAGGAAAGGGAGAGAATCTTAAGAAGGCTCCATGCTCAGTGCAGAGCCTGATCCCAACACCTTGGGATCATGACCTGAGCTGAAATCAAGAGTTGGTCACTCAACTGACTGAGACACGCAGGCACGCCTCCTTTATTCTTTAAAACGACCACATAGAATTCTGTGTATTCTAAAAGTGGTTTTTAGATTGTTGTCCATTTCTTGCTGATATACATAAGTCTGCAGTATGTATTTTTATACATATTTCTTTGTGTATATCTGCACATATTTCTATAGGATTGGTCCCTTAAAGTGGTCCTGTTTATTCATAAAGAGAGTATACTGAAGATTTTGTCTTTTCTTGACAACTTGTCACTCTGCTGTGTATATTGTTTTTATTACTGTCATTATAGCTAAAAGAGCTAATATTTATTGAGCATTAATTACATTCCATGTGCTCTTATTATAAGTGTTTTTGTATGTATGTCTCATTTAACCTTTATAACAACTCTATGAAGGTAGATACTAATTAGACTGGTTATGCTAAGTTACTTGCTTAAGTTAACATAGCCAGTAAAGGAAGGTCCAGAATATGAACCGAGGCAATCTGACTGCAGCCCCATATTCTTTTTTTTTTTTTTTTACAAATAGTTTATTGTCAAATTGGTTTCCATATAACACCCAGTGCTCATCCCAACAAGTGCCCTCCTCCATGCCCATCTCCCCCCTCCCCCCCACGTCCATCAGTCCTCAGTTTGTTCTCAGCATTCAAGAGTCTCTCATGGTTTGCCTCTCTCCCTTTCCCCCACCATTTCCCCCCTTCTTCTCCCCCATGGTCCTCACTTAAGTTCCTCCTAATCCTCCTATACGTGCATATGATATTTGTCCTTCTCTGCCTGACTTATTTCGCTAAGCATAACACCCTCAAGGTCCATCCATATTGCTACACATGGCCAGATTTCATTCTTTCTCATTGCGATGTAGTATTCCATGATATAGATAAACCACATCTTCTTGATCCATTCGTGCATTGATGGACACTTAGGCTCTTTCCATGTTTTAGCTATTGTTGAGAGTGCTGCTAGGAACATTGGGGTCCATGTGCTCCTATGCATTAGCATTTCTGTATCCCTTGGGTAAATTCCTAGCGGTGCTATTTCTGGGTCCTAGGGGAGTTCTATTGTTAGTTTCCTGAGGAACCTCCACACTGTTTTCCAGAGGGGCTGCACCAGTTTGCATTCCCACCAACAGTGTAGGAGTGCAGCCCCCATATTCTTAAGTACTTTGATTTTACCTTCCATAAAACCTAAAGGTAAAGAATGTCCTATACTTGAAAAGGAAGTAGAGACCTAGGGAGACAGTAATCTTTAAGGTACACCTACCTTTTTGAGAAGAGGAACCCCAGGAAATGGAAGAGTGTCAACTTTACCAAGAAAAATAGAATTGCACTTAATCCACTGGGCCAGTGGCACATGGAGAGACTTCCCAGGACAGATACGTTGCCTTAGTTCTTGGACGCTTTAGCTCCCTATTAGACTTGATTGCCTCTATACCAAATGGCCCCCAACGTTTTGTTTGTTTTCTGATCTCATCTATAGATTTTTGCTCTTGTTGGTGTGCTTTGCTAGCAATGGCTGCTACGTGGGTGGTTGGCTACTTATATTTTGATGTGAGATAGTAAACCATTTAATACTTTGTTACAAGTAAGCATGAATGAGGGGCACCTGGGTGGCTCAGTCGGTTGAGCATCCAACTCTTGATTTCAGCTCAGGTCATGATCCCAGGGTGGTGGGATTGAGCCCCATATTGGGCTTTCACACTGAGCTTGGAGCCTCCTTAAGATTCTCTCTCTCTCCCTGCTTCCATCCCTCAAGTGAAAAATAAAATAAATTTTAAAAAAAGAAGTAAGCATAAGTGGGCCCCTGGACAAGGCCCCTGGAGATGCACTTTTTAGTAAAATACATGAACTTTAGAGTTTGGATTGAGGCTATCACTGAATATCGGGATTGCAACATTTGTTGATTGAGCCCACAAGTGCCAAACACAGTTTATTTTGGCCAGGTTTTAAGTGGGCAGGGTGTTGCTTTACTGATGTTACATGGTGGTGTTTAGTTTAGGACAGGGCAGTGTGAATGGTAGTGTCTTGTCTTGTGCTTTGGGGAGGCTACAGTGCCATCTTTGCAGTTAAAGAATCTTACTTCCTTTTATTGTAAATGATGGGACTGCTGTGGATGACCAGCATGGTGGACACATTAAAAAATAATAAGTTCAAATTATTTTGAGTAAATTCATTTTGGGCTATATAAACAGCTTTGCATTTTTATCAGGTCAGTTAACTTGTCACTGGAAATAATTTGTAAAGAAACAGTGTATTAATACAGGAGAATTATTTTTTATTTGTGTGTAAAAGTTAGTGGTGTAAATACTGTGCATGAGCCCTGTTCGTTTCTTAATTTGATTACTAAATTTCCTGGTCCCTCACCTTTCCACTGCAGGCTTATGATCAGCATTTAAATATGATCTTGGGAGATGTGGAAGAGACTGTGACTACCATAGAAATTGATGAGGAAACATACGAAGAGATATATAAAGTAAGTCATGGAATTTTGTTCTTCACTTTTAAAATGTCAATTGTTCTCAACATCCAACAGCTTAACACTTATTTTATAAAAAGCCTGTCATGATTTAACATGATTTAACCTACTTGTGGACTTTGTAAAGTATAGCTATCAAAAGCAAAGACTTTAGGGTCATACGGACCTAATTTACAGTGCTGGTGTGGCCATGTCCCACTGGGGTATGTTGCCAGTGAATTAATGTGGCAGATTTAAGTTCCTCATTGTTAAACAAGAATATTACCACTTACATCTTCGGGTTGCCAGGATTCACTGATATATGTCAGTGTAAGATGCCCATGTGTGTTAGTCTGTAAGTGTAGTGCTGGACAGTGTGCCTTGTTTGATGTGAATTTAAGGTTTTAATGATTAATAAAAACTAACTCAGAAATTTTAAAAATACGAACTCAGTAATAATGAGCCTATTACGTGTTGACTTGCTAAAACAAAATAGTTAGTGAGAAATGTCTTTGTTCAACTGTTTTGCAAAGTTCTTTAATGCCTGGCTTAATTGATGACACCTAGATTCTCACATCTTTTTCTGCATTTAATCTGTTATGGTATGTCATAGTTGAAGAAAATCCATCCTCACAGGTAGTTAGAAAAGGGAGGAGAATTTTTTTGTGGGTATTTGCCTCTGATGCTACATTAAAACTCAACAAGTGGTAGTTTCTTAAAGGTTAGTTGCAGTGTGGAATCTGAGACCACATCAGTGAACTTTTCATACTCTTCCTATATGCGAATTCATTGGTCTACTTTGTCCTTTGAATGGATCGTTTACATTGCGTGATTTTGTAACATCAAGCACTGGTCATTTGGAAAATATTAGTTCGTGGAGCCATGCAGATCTTCTGAATGTCGGCACATTTCATTGTTCAATGTAAAAAAAAAGGAAATCACGTACGTCTTTTAAGTATTGGGAATCCAGTCTTTGACCCTTCTAGAGTATAGTGGTTTAAAATGTAGATTAAGATTGCAGGACTGGATTTAAGTCTTGACTCCCTTGCTTACCAGCTATTGTATCAAAATACGGAACCTGTCTGTGACTAAGTCTCCTTGTCTGTAAAATGGGGATGGTAATAGGACCCACTTTATACAGTTATTACGATTCACTGAGAGGTTACACGGAAAGCCTTCAGATTAGTGACAGGCACATAGTAAGTGTTCAATCTGTTAGCCTTTTTTGGTTTTTGTATTTCTGCTTTATGCTGCCTTGCCTTCTGTCTTCAACATCTACTGACTCCTTTGCGAATTTTCTTTCTCCCTCAGAACATGGGTTTTTACATTTTTAACCTACATGTCTTGTTTTCCTCTCAGAGATGTCATTTAGTGACTCAGAGTCCATAACAGTAATCAGTACAGCACCAAAGCTTGAGTTCTTCACAGATCTGGGCTCACATTTTTGCTGCTGGTGATTAGTTTCGTGACCTTGAGCAAGTTAGAGAAACTACCTGAGCCTTAGGGGGACCTCTTTTGAAAATGACAGTAACCATGCCTGCCTCCCAGGGCTATAACAAGATGCACTAAATTTGGTATATGTAAAGCTGTGGCATGTGGTATTGGTAGCTAATATGATTGTGGATCAGTCTGTGTCTCCAGTTTCTTTTCTGAGCTTCACTCTTTCATATCCAATATTCTAATTAAAAATGTTTTCACTGTGGATGTTATCCTGAACTCAGTACATCTATAAGTAAATTCTTTTGAAGCTGCTCTTCACCTTCAAAATGAGGTCATTCTTGGGGCGCCTGGGTGGCTTAGTCGGTTAAGCGTCCGACTTTCTCTTAGGTCATGATCTTGCGGTTCCTGGGTTCGAGCCCCGCGTCGGGCTCTGTGCTGACTGCCAGCTCAGAGCCTGGAGCCTGTTTCAGTCTGTGACTCCCTCTCTCTCTGACCCTCCCCTGCTCACGCTGTCTCTCTCTCTCTCCTAGAAATAAATAAAACATAAAAAAAAAAATTTTTAATAAAACAAAATGAGGTCATTCTCCATTCCCTGTTTCTATTCATGATTCACAAATCTCAGAATTTTCTTGGACTTCTCTCTTTCAGTCACATTGATCAATAGCTAATTCAGTTGATTCTTCACATTGCTTTAAATGTGTCCTTCCTTCTCTTTCCCATCGCCATGGCGGTAGCTCAGGCACTTCTCATGCCCCCTCCATTTCAGCCCATGCACAACTGATTGCCAAAGTAATTGTCCTCAAATAATGCTTTCATTTGTTACAGTCATGCTTAGAGACATTTAAGGCATTCTGTGGCCTGTAGAGCAAAGCACAAGTTCATACTAGGTTAAGACTGATTGGAACTTTCCAGTCTCCTCTCCGATGACTTCTCTGGCCAAGTTGGTCCACTTACTGTTGTCAGAGTGCGCCCTCTATAGTTCTGTTTCTGTCTTTACCATAATATGCCCCCTAGCTGGAATGTCTACCCTTGTCCCTTTCTTGCAAAGCCTTTTTCAAGAACTGCCTTAGTGCTTACTCTTCAGTGACACTTTCTCTGACCATCTGGACCTTCTTTCTTTCTTTGTTCATTTCCTCTTTTGGTTGGATTTTCTAACTTTTGGCACTCAGCTGACACTGATCTTACACACTCCTCATTTCTGTATTTCTTTTCATCTTGTGAGCTGTTCAATAGCAGAGCCCAGGACATTTTTCATTCTATTGCCCATAGTTCCATGTTAGCTATAGACAATAAGTGTATGCACAGGTTGTTAGAGGAATATGGGGTAGGGGCGGGAGTAGAGATGACAAAGTACAGATCTTCCTGGACTTACCATGAGGTTACAGACTGACAAACCCACTATAAGTTGAGAATGCATTTGAAATACCTACCAAACATCATAGCTTAGACTAGCCTGCCTTAAACGTGCTCAGAACACTTAGATTAGCTTACAGTTGCCCAGAATCACCTACTGCAAAGCCTATTTTATAAAGTATTGAATAATCCACGTAGTACTGAAAGTGAAAAACAGAGTGGTTGTGAGTGTATTGGTTGTTCACTCTCAATCACATGGCTGACTTGGAGCTGGGCTGCTGTCATCGCCCAGCATCATGAGAGAGTATCAGACTGTATATTATTAAGTCCAGGAAAAGATCAAAATTCAGTTTTGAAGTACAGTTACTAGTGAATGCTTTTTGCTTTTGTATCATAGTAAAGTCAAAAATTAAAGAGATAAAAGCAGAGAGAAAACATCCAGGAAGAGAATAGATAGGGAAAAGGGAACTAATACATGTGGAATAACTGGTGTATGCCAAAGATTTGCATGTTTTATTACATTTAATTAGGTAACACTGAGGTCAGTGGTGTTACTCCCGTTTTCTAGCTGAGGTGACTACGTTCAGCTAGGAAGGGATCTCATAGGGATTTCCAACTCCAGCCTAACTGGCTTTGAAGCCTGGAGGGTTCATTCCTCTGTATTAGGGACTGAAGCTCAGAGTAATTGATGATGGAATTGATGGACAGTGAAACCTTAAGTTAGCAGGATAGCACTTAGTTCTTCCCGATAGCTCAGCAGCAGCTGAGCTAACATAGGAAGACTGCCTATCATAAATCTCTAGGATCTGGCATGCCACGCTTGGTCCCTGCCACTGTGGGCTTTAAAACTAATTTAGAAAGTGCCCAGTATACAGAAAAATTGTGGGTGCCTTGAATATGAGCAGTCATGCAAAATATCTTCAGAGAGATAACACCAGATGTAAAAAAGTGTTCTATCATAATATTAACTTACTCTAATAGACAAGTGGAAATGGGAGAGGTTGAGAACTAACCTTTGGTGAATGCCCGCTGTATGTCAAGCACTGTGCTGTCCATTTTGTATACATCGTATTTAATTCTAACAGTTTAGTAAAATAGACCCAGGTTAAAGCTAATGGACATTGCTGTCTCTCAGCAAGTGTATAATTTGCAGCATTTCCCAAACTTCTATAACCATAGTACTCCGTCGTAAGAATACACATTGCTACATATCAAATTACTCAAACTTAGAGGCTTAAAAGCACATACATTTATTAGTTCACCGTTTCTGTAGGTCAGGTATCCAGGCATAGCTTAGCTGGATCTTCTGCTTCAAGGGTCTTTGATGAGGCTACATGAGGGCTAGAGTCTCATCTGAAGGCTCAGCTGGGGAAGAATCTGCTTCTGATCTCACATGGTTGTTGGGAAGATTCACTTCCTCACGGGTTGTTGGCCTGAGAGCCTCAGTTCTTTGCTATGTAGATCTCTACTACCTGGAAGCTAGCTTCATCAAAGCTAGCAAGAGAGTTGGCTAACAGGACGGCACTCACTATCTTATGTGACCTAATCATGATAGTGATATCCCATGACCTTTGCAGTATTCTGTTGGTTAGAAGCAAGGCATAAGTTTCACCCACAGTCAGAGAGAGATACACAATGGTGTGGTGTGAACATCAAGAGGCACAAGTCCATTAAGGGCAGTCATAGAAGCTACTTGCCTTGGAGAATGCTGCCATATCATTTCTGTTCACTGAATCTCCAGAAAAACATAATTGAACTAATGAAGAATCATCACAGGTGAAGTGGATTCCATCTGAAGGTAAGGAAAGAAGCTTTTTAGTTCAGAAATGTGACCACCAAGTAAGGTATTTGAATAAAATATATCGGTTATTTTGATGAGCACAGGCTCCTTCACTAAACTTGCTGTCCTAGAATAAGATGCACCTTTTGCATCTAGGAATCCAGAAGGAAGTATTGCTTCATTATAGATAGCAGTCCTATGACACTTGTTTCTTGGAGACTGATTCTGAGTGTGCTCCTTCAAGCAGTATTGGCATCACCCTTGAACGTGCTTGAAATGCAAACTGATGGGCCACACCCTGACCTACTAAATAAGACTCTGGGCTTGGAGCCTAGGAAACTGTCATAAGGAGCTGTTAAAGAGGTGATTCTTTATGCACATTATAATTTGAGAGCCACTGCCTGAGAGAGTGTTATCTAGGAAAGAGTTAGATCACTTCTTGGATGACAGATAAGTATACTTGAGTTTAGTATGTTAAACTTATAAGTATTACTTGAACTTATTCTTAGGGGTTCTCCTTGTAGGTTTAGTTCAGTATCCAAGAAGCCCATAAAACATGAGTTTTACATTTTAAAGCAAGTTATAAAAACACAGCTGTCTTGAGCACACTATGAAGACACATAAGTTGTGTCTCTCCACGATGTCAGTTTAATTCAGTCATAAAGCAGGGTTAACATAATTCTAAAGCAGGCTCAGGATTCCCAACACAGTGACACTGCACCACGTGATCCACCTGGCTTCTTACGTGGCATACAAAGCAGAACACAAGACAGGTCACACAGCAAACAAGGCAACACACAGGGGCAGGACATTAAGGAACCAAATGCAAGGTCAGCATGTGCGTGCACAGTGAGATGAGGCCTTGGTCCCATTCAGGTCATCTCTCGGCACTCACTGCTCATTCTGTTCAAGTGGAGCCTTTGGCAGCCGCCACCTTTCTGAAGTGGTCACACAGGGGTCAGTGTCTGTGACAGCTTGCTGCAAAAATCCTCCTTTTTAAAGGGATTTAATCAGCGTTGGGCCCCTGCAGACCTCCTCTGCTTCTGCGGGGTGCTGGTCTCAGGGATATCTGGCAGCCGCAGTACCCGTGGCTGCTTGCGTCATTGCTTGACACAGGTCCCTGCTTGATATGAGTGACTCCATCTTGCTCTCTATGGCAACTATTATTAATATTTTTGTTCTCTCTGTCAAATCCACATGTGGCCACTTGTGATATAGAGTCCTAGAACCTAAAAAGGATGAATTAATTACTGTTGCCCCTCCCATGGCCATTATAGCGGAGCAGGGACAGAATTTTCAGCAAAAAGGAAGGAAGGAAGGAGGGAGGGAGGGAGGAAGGAAGGAAGGAAGGAAGGAAGGAAGGAAGGAAGGAAGGAAGGAAAGGCAGGCTTGCCTTTAGAAAAGAGAAGAATGGATATTTGGGACATACTTAGACAAAAAAAAATTATTTTCTGTTTATCTAGAATTGAAATTTAATTGAGCACTCTATTTTTATTTGCTGAATCTGGCAACCCTAAATGGGGGCTGCAGAGTTTTCACAGCCAAGTACTCACTTATGCTGGAAGACTGAAAAATAGTCAAAGCCTTTGTAGCCAGACTATGGCTTCTTTAAATGCAATTTCTTTAAAAGCTTAGGACTTTGTATGCATCTGATCTGTTCATTTCCAATCAATTCTATGGGCCAGTAACCTCAACGTTCTTGCCTACATATAACCTGTAGATGCCTCTTTTTATTTCTTGAGTTCCTTCCCACCGTTCTTCTCCCCTTAATTAATGTTGACCCTTAGGGTATTTGCTAAAGTAAATTTGGGTGGGAAAGCAGCACCCTTAATCTGATCCTTGCCTCAGGGCTGAGTCTGTTTAACTGAGAAGATTTGCTGGGCTTCAGTCCACAAAGCTTTTATTCCTGTTTATTGTCTATAGTTTGGAATCTAAAAACTGTTGGCTCTTCAAACCCTATGAATCCTATGTCTTGTAATTTCTGCTTGAAAACCAGCTAGTTCTTGCCTTGGGCTCATCTCTTATACTGCCTTTCTAAATGTATCAGGTTAACAGCAACTAACATTTGGCTTGTTCTAACCTCTTTCCCTACAACCTGTAGGTTAGAGGGGCCCTTGGGCTACCTTCCAAGCCATTGCAGGCAACAGTTTTACCTAATGTTTTGCCAAGGTGTAAAAGGAAGTCAAATACTTGTATTCCAAATCTGTCTCCTCACTTAGGCTTAGGTCCCCCTGTAGGCTAGTGCTCCAAGGTGTTCATTCCACAGACGTGAGTGCAGTAGTAGCACATAGGAGCAACATGTAATGGCTCAGTACAGCACAATTTTATTTCTCACCCACGTAACAGTCCTGAGTGGAGTTCTAGTTCAGCATGATAGCTTTCTTCCAGGTACATAATCACGGACCCGGTCTTCCTCTGCCTTATGGCTCTTCCATCTCCTGAGTTCCTTATCTGAGTCCACCTAGTCATGTGAGGAAGACCACAGAGGGGCATTCATGGGAGATTGGTGGGGCAGCCTAGTAACTTTGTGTACTTCCCGCTGGTTAAAACCCAATCTCATGGCTGTATCTGGCTGTAAGGGAGTGTGAGTAATGTAGTCTAGCTCTGTGCTAGGAAGAGGAGGAAAGTGGATATTAGTGAATGCTCCAATCTTTGCTCCAATTATTGACATCCTGGAAAAGTAAACAGCTAATAAAGTGGTTCTTTGTGCTACAAAGGTAAGTAAGTGATCAGGTTTTTAAATCAATTTGTGTTATAATGTGTCTATGTGGGGTTTTTTGTTTTCAATCTCTCTCTCAAAAAATAAATAATACAACTACATGTTTGTGTAAATATTGTTGTTGTTGTTTTTCCCTTTTCCAGTCAACAAAACGGAATATTCCGATGCTCTTTGTCCGGGGAGATGGTGTCGTACTAGTTGCCCCTCCATTAAGAGTTGGCTGAAACAAAGAATTTATCGTGTTGTGGAATATAGGAGACTTTGTATGATTCCCTCTTTAAATGTAGAAGACATTCCAAAGAGGAACCCACGTTAATTTCGACATTTAAGAAATGACCATGGATTCTTCCACTCCTGAAATGAGTCGATTTGCAGATATTTCAAAAATTCTTAAGCTAAAGAGTATTTTTATTTTTTTCCAACCCTTTCAATAAATGTGATCACCAAGATGCAGAACTTTTTCAGGAGTTGATTTGCTTTGTTGTTTTCTCAAGCAGTCTCTGTTTTTTTTCCCTTAAAATTGAATTTGATGTTTCCTGTCGATTTCTTTTTTTAATGCAGTGTCCTGTCTTGAGAACTCTTTAAAAAGTAAGCACACATCTTTCATTGACTTTATTTGTATACATTCATCTGTACATCTACTAGGTTTGAGGCACCAGGTGGACCCCTGAAAACTAGAATTTTTCCAGTAGGCATTCTTCCTTCCAATCCTCTGGGAAGGACAGTTCTTGAAACCAGTAATTGCAGGGCAGAGAAAAGATAGAATAATGCACGTACAGGATGCCATAAGAGCACAAAGAAGACTGTTCAAAGAAGAACAGGTTGGGTGGGTGGGTGTGTGTGATGGTGGTGGTACTGTGACATGGTAGATACTAACATTGCTATGAAATATGAAGCATGATTTTGTTACTTCTGCTTGGTCTGATTTATGTCCTAGGTCAGGCTTCAGAGGTTATATGCCTGTGTGGTTCAGCTTTGTCACTTCTACCAATGCCGCACATATTTAATGACTCAAAGAACAAATTTCCACTCTTGGATCACGGGCCATTAATGATGAGAGGTCTACAGCAATATATCTCAGTGGCACAATGAAACACCATGGCTAAAAAGCAAAGCTCTTTTTATTTCTAGCTTGAGTCAGTCAGCACTTAATACTTAAAAGCGAAAGAGGAAAGTGTGTATATATACATATACATATATATATATATATATATAGGGGGCAGTCTTTAAAACTTTATTTAGACAGAACTTAGAACCTGACATCCTCTCCTAAGTAGGTTGTACCATTCTGAAGTGTAGAAAATCTGATGTATGGATGGCTTGCCTGTGAATATGCCAAATGTGTTTGTTAATCCATCATCAAGCACAGTATGCTAACTTATGCACAGCATTTTCAGCTATACTTCGAGTAAACACTGTAAAAAGCTTTCATCTCCATTATTTATTGTACCTGTCCCTGCAAGTTAATGGAGAAGAGGAAGACAAGTATGGGCAAGCTGACAGAGGTTTTATCTTCTGTGAGGAGACAAGAGAGAACCTTCCTTTACTTCCGCCTACCCCCACACTTTGTCCTTAGGCCTCAGTAGTCCCAGAAGGTAACCTGTGTACCTCAACCTGTTCAGCACTGAGAAAGTGGGACCTGTGGTTCTGGCAGTGGCCAGCGGCGGATGCTTTGGATCACCGGTTCCAAGAGGAACTCTTGCCTAGATGCTGCTGCAGATGATACTGCACAATAGTGATTGTTGTAATTTATTGAACAAAGGGCATCAGGCAAAAGCAGTTTGAATGTATATCCCTCTTCGATCCCAACAGCAACTCTTCTGCAGAGTGTTACACAAACCAAGAGCTTGCGTTGCTTGCCTGTGGCCCCACAGCCTGCATGACACAGTGGGATGTGAGTCTGCTGGACTCCTACCTGTGTGTGCAGGGACGGGCACGCTGTGCAGACCCTGGCTCAGGGTAGTACACTGCTCCGTGGCGCCTGGGCTATCTGGCCCTCTTGCTCTGCCACGCCCTCCAGTTCCTTCCAGCCTTGTGTTATTTTTAGTAGCTTATGATATCCGTGCTTAGTTCCTGGATACTACTTCTCCATTCTTGGCCATCTTTCTCCTTTTTCTCTTAGAAGTGATAGATTACACTAGAACTCTTGGCTGTGAAGGCTATTGTTTACACACATAGGTTTCTAAAAACCTTGGTCTTTAAAATCTGACAGTTGATTTCATGTGCGACATACAAATTTCCACTTACCTCCTAGCTTTTGAGATATAGGAAGAGGGGCAATAAAAGATTAGCTGCAGGATAAGCATTCACATGTTACCCGACAGAGGAGGAGGAAGCGCTGTGGGTATTGTGAGCCCTTCTGTGGTGTAGGCTACCTGCCCGGAGGGTTGGAGCTGGGCCTCAGGTCTGCAGTGGGGCAGCTCAGGCAGCCTCCTGCCACAGCCCTCCGCATCAAGGCTTCCTCTGCTGAGCTGCACGGGGCTGCCATCAGGGGCCACCCAGAGCCACGCCTTGGACCCCTAGGCTGCACAGCGCTCGGAGCTCCGTCCTGCTGGACGGCCGTGGTCATTGGAGCTAGTGGTGAGGTTTCTGCACCGTGGTGTCACATAGCTCAAGGGGAGCCTTTGACCATCTCCCTTGGAAGCCTCTCCAGCAGATGCCATACCTAGAACCTTGTCATGGTGGTTTCCTGAAGGAGATTGTCCTGAATGACTGCTTCCCACAAAGGAAGATGGACCGATGAAATGTAGGACCACACATTTCTCTTTGAGACAAAATTTGCCCAAACTGAAACCCAAGTAACTTGAGTATCTCAATTTAGACTAAAAATATTAGCTACAAATTTTCACACATTTCAAATAGTGACTTTTAAAGATCTCCATAAACTCAAGGTGTTAACCTTTCTGTATGCAGAGAGAGAAACTGGCTCCATACACCGTTTTGTTACAGATAATACCTACTGTGCACAATGCTTTTAGCCTGTAGTCAGAATGAGAGGAATGTTTCACTGTGAGCATTGCCACCCCTAGGCCAGTACTCTTCTGTGTGGGACACAGAAGGGAACCAAAAATTCTGGGATTCATCCTGGCAGGATCAAGAGGTTTGGCTGGTGTTTCTGTCACCCAGCTCCACTCAAGCATGTGGGCAGGCCTTCCCCTGTAGCAGATCAGGCTTACAACCCACCTGCCATTGGCAGTGTTTGTGCGTTGGTCCACGGCCACTCATGAGGGCCATGAGAACATAGGGCTCTGATTGGCCAGGCCTGAGCCACATGTCCATCCTGAAACTAAGCCAGATTTTCCCCACCTAAGCCGTATGGTCCACGTGTGGAGGGAGTCATTCTTTAAAGGGAACCAGAGTGGGAGCTGCAGACAAAAAATGCCTGAGATAGAACTTGGAATCTCCTGGCTGATAGAAAACTCCTTTGATTTACTTGATTAGTGGTAAAACTTCTTGAAACACACTTCATAGTGGAGACTTATTTAAAGCCATCACTCTGGAATCTAGTTGGACGCCCTGGAGAGTCCCAAGGAAGAGTCAGTGTGGGGGAAGCTTAGATTTGTTCTGTGACGGGGCCTGATGGTAGCTGGAGTCTTCTCTGGGGGTTTGGTATGAGACCTGCCACATAGGAAGGGATGAGGCTGAGAATGGGTATTGGGGTCTGTGGAGCTCAGAGGCAGACAGGTTACGTCCATGAGGTGAGTGAAGAACACCGAGCCCCACCAGACAAGTTCCTGCTTATAAGCAGGGATTGGGTGCTCACCACCCCTGGCATGGGGCCTGGCCAAGAGTTTGTCCTCAGTAAACGCTGAATGAGTCATTGAGCCACAGGAAAACCAATGACAACAGTTAGTGGAGGGACATGTAGTACCTTTTTCCTCCAGCTTTATGAAAATGTAATTGAAAAAAATTACAAGATATTTAAAATGTGCATTGTGAATTATGTATACATTGTGAAAGGATTCTCACCTCCTAGATAAGTAATACATCCATTACCTAATATATTTATCCTTTCTTTCTCTTTCTTTCTTTCTTTCTTTTTTTTTTGTAAGAACATTTAAGTTTCACTCTCTGAGCCATGTCTCAGTTATACAATGTCATGTTACCAACTGTAGCCACCATGTTTTACATTAGATCCTCTTTGCTTATTCATCTTATACCTGAAAGTTTGTATGCTTTTACCAACCTCTCCCTATTTCCCCCACCCCCAGTGCCTGCAACCACTTTCTATTATCTAAAGGTTTGACTTCTTTTTTTCTTCCTTTTTTGTTTCTCTCTTTCTTTCTTTCTTTCTTTCAGGTTCCACATATAAGTGGTACCCATGGAGTGTTTGTCTTTGGTGTATTTCACTTAGCATTACTCCCTCAAGGTCCATCATGTTGCAAATGATCAGATTTCCTTCTTATGGCTGAATAATAAACAAATAACACACGTACGCACACACAACTTCTTTATCCAAATGATACTTCCAAGGTGTGCTCGCTTTGGCAGCACATATACCAAATGATACTTCCAAGGTGAATTTTGCACATTGTTTTCCAGATACTTGTGACGTCCTCCTTATAACTGGACAATGCTTCCCATTTCTGCCCTTCTAGCCGTCTTGTCTCCATTACCATTTACATGTGCCAGCTGTAGATACCTAACTTGTTATCACTTTACATGGAAAACTAACACCAAGAAATGAGGAAGCCAAAGCCAAGTGCTTTAAATTCCTTTTAGATCCATTGCTTGCTCTTAATACGCAGAGCATGTAGATTCTTCTTTTCTTGGCTGCTTCTAGAAGCTTGCTGGATGTGGAAGCAACATGCCCCCCTGCAGTTCCTGATATTGATTACTCCAGAGGAATTTTCTTTCTTGGCTCCCCTCCCACCCACCTACAGGACTGTGGGGATCTGGGCCCCGGGTGTTGACAGGACCTCACAGTGTTGCCCTTGGTCACTTGGAAAACTGACCATAAAGTCTGGAAGTCTGGTGGAGTCATAAACCTGGCTTCAAATCCCAGCTGTGCCATGTACCCGCTGGGCAACTTACATCTGCCCTAAGGTCACCAGTAAGGATTGGAAAGTATTTGTATAAACAGCCTAGGGTAGTGCCTGGAATGTTCCTGACACATCATAGGCACCAATGGCAGAAGTCATAGGAGTGGATGCAGTATTGGAGGCCAGTTCATCACTCATTCATCTTATTCCAAGTATCCCTGCTCTTTTTCTCCCTAGATAGTTTTCAGGAGATGTTAAATAATTTAATTCAATCAATTAAAAATTATAATCAAACATCTACTGAGTGCCAGGCCCTGTCAATAGAACAAAACAAGGG